AAGAAGTTACAGGTTTGTGAGAGCCGGAAATCTTGCTTGTTTGTAGATTCATTAAAAATCCTACAATATGATTTTCTGGATTTTTTTTCTCATTTTGTCTGTCATAGTTGACGTGTACCTATGATGAAAATTACAGGCCTCTCTCATCTTTTTAAGTGGGAGAACTTGCACAATTGGTGGCTGACTAAATACTTTTTTCCCCCACTATATATATATATATATATATATATATATATATATATATATATATATATATATATACACATACACATACACATACACATACACATACTGTACATATACATACATACAAAATATATATTTCCCTTTATTACTTTCCAACCTCACCACCCCTTCCCTAATTGGAGTAAACTAGTGAACAACAATGCTTAGGCCTCTACTTCCAGCTTATACATACTATAAACATTTTATGGACTCAGTCAATTTTACAAAAATTATATTTTATTTGTTTTTACTCCTGAACTTCCTCTACCCTCAACCTCTCCGATCATTTTCATGATGTCCATCCAGTTTGCTTCTATATGCCATATCTTTCTAACTGTGCTCTTTCACAAAAGCTCTCAACCTATAACTTATATACTTATTATGGACACAGTATGCTTACATTATTAGTTATCTTTTGTTATTAGTTGTTGTTAGTTGTTATTAGTCCCATCCTTCAACTCCATTCAACACCACCCATCTATATCTTAACACCATCCATATTGGATTTCTATTTGCCATGTATTTTTCAACTGTACTGTGATGTTTTACAAAAGTTCTGAACCTTTCTATTCTCATTGTTTCTACAGATTGTAAATTGAAAATAAACATTTTTGCTGAAAGTATTATTATATTATTGATCGATTGACTATGACTTTTCAGATCACCCAGTAATGCTATCTGCAGGGTTAGCTCCAGGTAAATATTGCAATCCTTTAGCCATTCCTGGACCTGTGTCCAAAAACAAGCTACAAATGGACAGTGCCAAAACAAATGATCTAATGATTCTGTCTCTTCGCAGGAAAATCTGCAGAGCTGGGAAGATTGTATCCCCCATATAAATAACATTCTATTGGTAGCAAGAATTTTATATAATAATTTAAATTGAAAAATTATAAGTTTTGAATCCGGCGTCGTTTTGCGTATCAGTTCATAAACACTATGCCATGGAATCGGTACGTCAGAAATCTCTTCCCAAATATTTTGCAATCTATATGGGATGGCTGTCAATCCTTTGGTCCTTAAATGAAACTGGTATACTTTTTTATTTATTACAGTTTTCTTTAACAAATTATGTTCTTTAATGCAAGGCCGACAGACAAATTCCTTACTTTTTCTCTCTTCCACTTTCCTCTTCCATTTTTGTGGTAATGCTGCAATTATTTGGTTGTAATTTTGGGTAGAGCAGACATTTCCATATGTTTTTGTTAGCTGCATGTGCGACATAACTCCACAAGTTCTACCGATGATATCATTTACGAAGATTATACATTTTTTAAACATTTTGTCAAAAAGAAATGTTTTTTTTATCAATTAGTATATTTGAGTTTAACCACAATATTTGTTGCATTATTTGTTCTGTCGTTTCTGGAGGATTAAATTGAAATTGCAACAAACTTTCTATGGCTTGTTTTAGAAATAGTGATATTTGGGAGATGATTTCCTTTTCAAATAACTGAAAGTGAGGAGGTTGTAATCTGAATAAAGAGAAAAGGGCCATTCTTGAACATTGGGTGAGACAATCTTACTAATTTGCTAGAGAACCAGTTCGGAATTAAGTATAACTTTTGTATGACTGAAGCTTTTAGTGATAGGTCTAATGCTTTAATATTTAATCATTTCTGTCCTCCGAATTCATATTCATTATATAAATAGGCATGTTTAATTTTGTCTGGCTTGCCGTTCCAAATAAAATGGAATATTTCTTTCTCATATAATTTAAAAAACTGTTCGCTAGGCATAGGCAAGACCATAAGCAAATAGGTAAACTGGGATAATACTAAAGAGTTAAATCAGGGGGATTTTTCCACAAATTGACAGGTACTTACCTTTCCATGGTAGCAAGATCTTATCTATTTTTGCTAACTTTCTATTAACGTTTATTGGAGTGAGATCGTTTATTTCATTTGGGATATGTATTCCGAGAATATCCACATCACCATCACACCATTTTATTGGTAAACTACAGTGGGGAGAACAAGTATTTGATACACTGCCGATTTTGCAGGTTTTCCTACTTACAAAGCATGTAGAGGTCTGTAATTTTTATCATAGTTACACTTCAACTGTGAGAGACGGAATCTAAAACAAAAATCCAGAAAATCACATTGTATGATTTTTAAGTAATTAATTTACATTTTATTGCATGACATAAGTATTTGATCACCTACCAACCAGTAAGAATTCCAGCTCTCACAGACCTGTTAGTTTTTCTTTAAGAAGGCCTCCTGTTCTCCACTCATTACCTAAATTAACTGCACCTGTTTGAACTTGTTACCTGTATAAAAGACACCTGTGCACACACTCAATCAAACAGACTCCAACCTCTCCACAATGGCCAAGACCAGAGAGCTGTGTAAGGACATCAGGGATAAAATGGGCTACAGGACAATAGGCAAGCAGCTTGGTGAGAAGGCAACAACTGTTGGCGCAATTATTAGACAATGGAAGAAGTTCAAGATGACGGTCAATCACCCTCGGTCTGGGGCTCCATGCAAGATCTCACCTCATGGGGCATCAATGATCATGAGGAAGGTGAGGGATCAGCCCAGAACTACACGGCAGGACCTGGTCAATGACCTGAAGAGAGCTGGGACCACAGTCTCAAAGAAAACCATTAGTAACACACTACGCCGTCATGGATTACAATCCTGCAGCGCACGCAAGGTCCCCCTGCTCAAGCCAGCGCATGTCCAGGCCCGTCTGAAGTTTGCCAATGACCATCTGGATGATCCAGAAGAGGAATGGGAGAAGGTCATGTGGTCTGATGAGACAAAAATAGAGCTTTTTGGTCTAAACTCCATTTGCCATGTTTGGAGGAAGAAGAAGGATGAGTACAACCCCAAGAACACCATCCCAACCGTGAAGCATGGAGGTGGAAACATCATTCTTTGGGGATGCTTTTCTGCAAAGGGGACAGGACGACTGCACCGTATTGAGGGGAGGATGGATGGGGCCATGTATCGCGAGATCTTGGCCAACAACCTCCTAAGAGCATTGAAGATGGGTCGTGGCTGGGTCTTCCAGCATGACAACGACCCGAAACACACAGCCAGGGCAACTAAGGAGTGGCTCCGTAAGAAGCATCTCAAGGTCCTGGAGTGGCCTAGCCAGTCTCCAGACCTGAACCCAATAGAAAATCTTTGGAGGGAGCTGAAAGTCCATATTGCCCAGTGACAGCCCCGAAACCTGAATGATCTGGAGAAGGTATGGAGGAGTGGGCCAAAATCCCTGCTGCAGTGTGTGCAAACCTGGTCAAGACCTACAGGAAACGTATGATCTCTGTAATTGCAAACAAAGGTTTCTGTACCAAATATTAAGTTCTGCTTTTCTGATGTATCAAATACTTATGTCATGCAATAAAATGCAAATTAATTACTTAAAAATCATACAATGTGATTTTCTGGATTTTTGTTTTAGATTCTGTCTCTCACAGTTGAAGTGTACCTATGATAAAAATTACAGACCTCTACATGCTTGTAGGTAGGAAAACCTTCAAAATCGGCAGTGTATCTAATACTTGTTCTCCCCACTGTACATGGTAATGTAACATAAACAATTTTTTGTGATCCAATACGTAATATAGTACATTTATCATAATTTGGTTGTAATCCAGAGAGGTTAGAAAATGTATCTAGATCCTCTATGAGGCCGTGGAGGGATTCAAGTTGTGGATTTAAAAGAAAACATGAATAATCAGCGTACAATGATACCTTTATTTTTAAGCCCTGGATTTCTAATCCCTTGATATTATTGTTGGATCTGATTTTAATAGCTAACATCTCGATGGCCATAATAAATAGATATGCCGATAGTGGACAACCTTGTTTCACTCCTCTTGACAGTTTAAAACTTTCTGAGAAATAGCCATTATTTACTATTTTACACCTAGGGTTACTATACATGATTTTAACCCAATTTATAAGAGATTCTCCAAAATTGAAATGCTCCAGGCATTTATATATAAACCCCAGTCGTACTTTATCAAATGCCTTTTCGAAGTCTGCTATGAATAGCAGGCCTGGTTTCCCAGATTTGTCATAGTGTTCTATTGTTTCCAGTAGTTGCCTTATATTATCTCCAATGTATCGTCCATGTAAAAAACCTGTCTGATTAGAATGAATAATGTCCGACAATACCTTTTTAATTCTATACGCTATACATTTTGCTAGAATTTTTGCATCACAACACTGAAGTGTAAGGGGCCTCCAATTTTTTAAATGGACTGGATCTTTATATTTTCCACTTGTATCCTGTTTCAGTAATAATGAAATCAGACCTTCTTCTTGAGTGTCTGATAGTCTACCATTTACATAGGAGTGGTTAAAACATGCTAATAACGGTCCTCTGAGTATATCAAAAAAGGTTTGGTATACCTCGACTGGTATGCTATCCAACCCTGGAGTTTTCCATGTATATCTCACTAGATCAGGATATTTAAGCCTCCATATATCTACTAGTTCTAATGTATCCATGACATTCACAATTTCCTCAAGAGCATGAGGGTGATTGTTTGTAGTGTGATTTCCTTTACGGTCCATTGAGCTATTTAAAACGGTATTGTAATCTCCCACCATAATAATAGAGTCTCCATTCCAGTCTTACTTTGAGTGCAAAGAGTTCAGCACCCTCTTTGTTTCCTACAGGTCCAAGTATTTTCAGCACTACAAACACTACACACAGGGACAAGCAGCTGTATAAGACTACACACACACACTTACACACAGCACCTTTACAGGCATTGTAAATAGATACTATGGCTTTCTCTCTCTCCTCAGCACTTCAATTTTGTGTCTCTGCCCACGGACGTTCTGGAGATTGAGGTGAAAGACAAGTTTGCCAAGAGTCGTCCTATCATCAAACGTTTCCTGGGAAAGCTGTCCATGCCGGTGCAGAGGCTACTGGAGAAGCATGCTATTGGGTACGGCTCAGGAATGCACAGGATGCTCATACATTTATCACAATAATCAAATGATTATTAATAGATATTAATAGATATTTGGGGAACAAGAGCCCTCTAAAGAATGTTTAAATCATAAAGTAACACGTCTCTCTCTTTTGAACTCCAACTCCCTCCCCCTCTCGCTCTCTCTCTCTCCCTCCCTCCCAACACAGTGACCGCGTGGTCAGCTACACGCTGGGCCGAAGGCTACCGACGGAACATGTCAGTGGACAGCTGCAGTTCAGATTTGAGATCACTTCCTCTTTTCATCCAGGTTCCTCTTCCTCTCATGCACATCCTCTCACATACATGCAGACCTGGGTTCAAATAGTACTTGTTTGCCTTCAAATAGTTTTGCTGCGCTTGATCAAACTCTCCTGATGTAATGGAACTAATGGAATAGTTCCAAAAGTACAAACCCCACCCATCTGGTTCTCTTAACAGGCTCAATCAAACGCTCAAAGTATTTGAACAAAAACACATGCTAATTGAACCCAGGTTTGTATAGATCCTGTTTGTCAGCTTCCTCTCATGTAGGTTCACTTAGTGTGTTTCTCAATACAGTGGTGGGAAGATAAGAAGAATATATCAAATGTACTGCAAGTCTTTCTGGAAATACCAACTTTCAAATCTAGGTTTAGACGGACAGATATTAAGCATTGGTTTAGCTGTTGAGTTGACTTTTTTTTTTTTTACAATAGGTTATGTTATTATAATTAGCCATATTGTCATACTCGATGTATACAGGATTTTCCATTAATTGACATACCATAGCAGAAACAGAGTGGTCTATTAACGAATGAATAGTGTGAGTTCATGTTGATATGCCCCACTTTGTGGCAGTCAGCCTGGCAGGCCATCACAGGCCCCTGACTGGGAGGTAATGAGCTCTGTTCTCCTCCTGCAGATGATGAAGATATGTCTCTCAGCACAGAGCCTGAGTGTGCCGCTGTGCAGGAGACCAGTAACCAGGGGGAGGGTCAGTCCTCCCAGGCCCAGGGCCAGGCTGAGGACACCATGAGCCTGGGTCCGGGCGCTCCAGAACTCCCTACAGATGAGGAGGAAGACGCTGGAGCTCCAGAACTTCCAATTGGTGGAGATACAGTTACAGCCACGCCCATGGAAGGGCATCCAGCAGGGCCTTTGGGTTCAGAGCAGCCCATGGATGGAGATGGAGACTCAGTGCCTAAGGCCCTAAAAACAGAACCAAGCCAGCCAGAGGTCAATGGGGCTCAGGGGAAGGAGGAGGCGGCTGTAGCTGTGGCTGCAGAGAAGCTGCCCACGGTAGAGGAGAACAGGGAGGAAGGGCAGCAAACCCCCTCCAGTCCTCAGCTAGCTGGCCCAGAGCAGCAGGGGCCTGTTGGGCAGGACATTGAGGGGGCACAGGGGGTGGACGGTACCCCAGCAGAGGGTCAGGTCAGCCCTGCTGTAATGGAGGACATGGAGAGTGAAGCGTCTGTTGAGCCAGCAGAACAGCAGGCGGTGGGTCAGGAGGAAGGGGATGAAGAATGCTGCTCCCTGCGCATCAGGACCACCCCTAGGCGTAAGAACCGGCCCTGCTCCCTGCCCGTGTCGGACCTGGAGACAGTCATCGCCGCGGCCTGTGGGGAGCCCGAAACCCCTCGCTCCCACTACATCCGCATCCACCACCTCCTCCACAGTCTGCCCTCCGCCCAGCCAGGCACCCAGGAGGACGGGGAGGAAGAGGGGGCTGAGGCTGAAACAGAGCCCGACCCAGACCCAGGCCCTGACCAGCTCAGCCCCAGGGACCAGGAGGGCTCGGAAGAGGATGAAAAGGCAGAACCCCTGACCCCCGGCCCCAGGAGGACCCTGCCTCGCAGCCTGTCCATCGAGCGTCTGTCCGACCTGGCCCTGATGCTGGACAGCGAGGGCCGCCACCCCCAGGGCCAGGTCAGGGGTCACCAGAGAGTGTCCGACGAGGACGACATGGAGCCCTGCTGCAGTAATTCCTGCTATGAGGGCCGAGGAGGCAGTCACACCCAGGCACCTCTAGTGGCTGCAGCCATGTCTGTGGGGAGCAGTGCTTTCCTCTCCCAGGAGGACGAGGACATGGAGGTGAACGGAGCGGAGAGCAGGGAGCCAGGAGATGGGATGCCCCAGTGGCAGGTGGCCCCCTCCACGCAGGTCCAGAGCCCCCAGAGAGTCATGGAAAATGGAGAGTCACCCGTGGCCGGGCCCAGTGGGAGGATAGGACGTGAGTTGGGTTCCTCACTGAATACTAACTTGCGATATGGAGTTGTAATTTGGGTAACTTAGGGTATACTGACCTGTTTTTGTCGTCCAATAGGAGATTGTCCCCTACCGTCCAGCCATCCTCCAGTCAGCCAGTTTCCTGCTCTGCGTCCTGATCCCCATCACTACCCCACTATAGATGAACCACTACCACCAAGTGAGCTTTGTATATAACTTTGTCTGAGACTCTGAGTCATATTGTTCATATTCCTTGTTGATGAACAATACATACCAGGACAGAACTAATGATACTAACTAAGAAATAATTGTCTCCACTGTTTGTGTGTGTGTGTGTTTGTGTGTTTGTGTGTGTGTATAGACTGGGAGGCGCGTGTGGACAGCCACGGTCGTGTGTTCTATGTGGACCACATCAACAGGACCACCACATGGCAGAGACCCACCTCAGCAGCCACACCCGACGGCATGAGGAGGTCTGGATCCGTTCAGCAGATGGAACAGCTCAATAGAAGGTGAGTGAATGGGGGAGACGGGAAGAAAGAGGAGAGAGGTAGAGCATACTTTTTTTGTAGTGTTGGGTTCTATTTTTCTCATAATTGGATCTGTATGTGATGAATAGCTTGGAAGGAATGCATTAATGAACTGTACTGATATAAATTGTTTCACATAACAGGCTGTTATTCATGTAAGGAACGTTAGGGGCTAGGATGAGATAAGACTTGTATTTCTCACAGATACGAACACTCTCTCTTTGTTGTCTGTGAAACTGTCCTTGAACATGGGTACATGGAGTACAGTGGAATGGTGTCTTTTGGGTGCTGACTCCACAGGTTATAATGATAGCAACTTATGCCTGGCAACAATGTGCAACAAATGAAATGCAGAGGAGTTGGGACCAACCCCTGCGCCAACGGATTGGCTGAACCACACTCAGTCCTTTGCTCTGGTTGGCCAACAGAAGAAGTGGAGGCTTTCTGTCAGAGTATTTGAAGAAGAACTTAGAACAATGGATCAGTTCTCTGTCTGCCCTGCGTGGTTTTTCAGTGAGCCCGTATACGAACCTTCATACTTATCATACATACATTTTGCATATAATAAATTTAGCTTGGATTGAATATCTCTTGATTATGTTTTCTCTTATTCCAATACCAGATTTGAATTACGCAATTTCTAACAGTAGACACTTTTGATTGTTTCTTCATTGTATCTTAAAAGAAAACAAGTGAAAACATACACTATACAGGGTCATCTGGTGGTTGTAGGAAGAACCTAAAGCGTTTTCTTGATGTTTTTCTTAGAATTTGTTCAGTTCTTTCTGAGAATTGGGGAGTTTTGTATTCAACACCCTATAGTCGATGTCGGCGCTCCGCATAAATGTATTTGCATAATACAAAAATCCCCATCAAAATATGTCACTTTAATCTAGAGATTTTTTTGCATTCGATGTGTCTCAATCCACCACATCCGCCTATGTAGCACTTCCTCATCTGTGGTGAAAGGTGACAGAGTAGAGCAATGTTTGTCAGACCATGAGACATCCTGAAAATAAGTCTTCTCACAAAATCGTCTGTAGCATCCAAACGGTTTGGCCTACAAACATGAGCAATGGGCTGTGTCAGGGCTGTGTCATAGATCCTTATCTCTGTCAGGATAACCCCTGCACAGACCTCACATGTATAGAAGACTATTACGGTAGTATAATCTATTGATCAATGGTCGCAAATTCAATTTCTTTCTCTCTGGGGCTTAAATCTAAGCAAGCCTAAATATCTTATACACTATTGAGTGATAATACACTTAAAATTAGTGTTTATTTTATATTTTCTTACCAAGATAAATTATCTAACGTCATTAGCAGATCATTTTGCTTATTAAAAAAAAGGTTTAATACGCACAAGTAATGTATCTTATTTCAATATACTTTTAAAGATATTTTAAGGTAAAATATCTTGAAAATCATCTTGAAATAAGATAAGTGTGCAAGAACTGCTTGTGTTTAAAGGAATGGTCTAGATTGAGGCACCGTTGCTCTGACTTAAGGATGTTTAGTAAATGTGTGCTGATGTGTTTGTCAGGTACCAGAGTATCCAGAGGACCATGGCCACAGACAGGAGTGAGGATGAAGGAAGCAGAAGCAGGAGTGAGAGAACAAGCCTCAACAACAACCGCAGTGAGACAGACTCTCCTCCAATGGCTAATGGTAAGTGGGACCTCACCACAATGTCACAATTACAGAATGCAATAAGCTGAAGTGTAGGCTTACTTTGTAAAAAGTAATGGGTATACAAAGGGTTTTCAAAGTTTTACACACAACCTTGTACTCGACTGTCACCATTCAGTTAATGTTCCTTTGTTCTCTCCTGGTGTCTGTGTGTAGAGCTGAGAAGAGACAGCTCCTCTTCCTCCTCCTCCTCCTCGTCTCCAGTCAACAGTCAGAAGATCACAGCTCTGTTACAGAGCCCAGCGGTGAAGTTCATCACACACCCAGAGTTCTTCACTGTCCTCCATGCCAACTATGTCAGTACCTACCCTGGTGGACAATTATATCTATACACATAGTGGACAAATATAACTAATATAATTTCCTTTTGAACACCAATGCCAATACCAATGCTCAGTAACATATTCTAGTCTTCAGTAACAGATGCTGAATATTCTACCATTGTGGTTCAGATTGGTTGCGTATGGTGTTTCTAGTTTCCATGGTCATGCTGTTGTGTTCTTCTCTTCTCAGGGGGCCTACCGCATGTTCACCAACAGCACGTGCCTGAAGCACATGATCCTGAAGATTCGCCGGGACACTCGTAACCTTGAGAGGTACCAGCACAACAGAGACCTGGTCACCTTCCTCAACCGCTTCGCTGACGCACAGCTGGAACTGCCCCGGGGCTGGGAGATCAAGACTGACCCACAGGGCAAGGTGCAGAGACATCAACCCTTAGTTCATCCACAGCAAACTCACCCACTTATTCACATAAGAGTTTATTGTTCCTTGGTTGAGAAGATGGAAAATATGTGAAAAAAGTAAAAAGTATACTAATGATGCTATTGATTTGGTCTTTGCCTTCAGATCTAGCGGTGTTTAGATTAGTGTTTCTAACTTTGGTAAATTTGTTCCTGTAACATCTTCTCTTTGGTCCAGAACTTCTTTGTTGACCACAACAGCCGGGCGACCACGTTCATCGACCCGAGAATCCCCCTTCAGAACGGTTGTCTGCCCAACCACCTGACCCACAGGCAGCACCTGCAGAGATTACGCAGCTACAGCGCAGGAGAGGTCAGGAGTCAAACAGTACTATAGAGAATACAATTCCTTGTTTTTAAGTGTTGTAACTGTTTGATTGAGGACCATAATGTATTCAAATTATGGAAATATGGAATTGAATGTATTTATTTGCTTGTTTATAGCTGTACCTTTTGTCATATGTATTCTGTCAGGCCTCTGAGGTGTCCCGTAGTCGAGGTGCGGCCTTGTTGTCACGGCCTGGGAACAGTGTGGTTGCCGCGATACGGAGCCAGCATCATCCTGATCCAGTGCCACAAGGTGTGTCCTGTACATACAATACACAAAGAACACAATCATAATTCACATTTACCACGTGTTATAGTTTCTGCAGTTAGTCTGTGTAAGTCAGTTTCTGCTGTGTGAGTCAGTCTAACCGTCTTCTGAAATCAATGTCTTTGTTCCACTCACAGCTTATAATGAGAAGATAGTGGCCTTCCTGCGTCAGCCTGGAATACTAGAAGTTCTAACGGAGCGCCAGCCAGCCCTGTCCAGGAACCATTCCCTGAGGTAGATATACACACTGGGGGATGAATTGGATTTCTTTTTCATATGAAGAATTTGTAGATTCAGAGAATGTATTCAGAGTATTGGTTCCATACTTCCATAACTGAAGTTCCCACTGGGAAAAATAAAGGGTAAAACCTTACATTACAGTGCCCTTATTAATGTGTAACTGCTCATGTAATTACAGTGTAACAAGTATTGTAATTACGCATTATTACACTACTTGGCAGTAACCCTAACCTTAGCCCTAACCCTAGCCTCAACTCTAACCCTAACTTTAACCATAGCTTAATGTCCACATCATGGTTCAACCTTACATTTACATTTACATTTACGTCATTTAGCAGACGCTCTTATCCAGAGCGACTTACAAATAGGTGCACCACCTTAACCTAAACCACAACCCTAACCCTAGCTTCATGTCCACATCCTGGTTAAACCCTAACCTCAACCACAACCCCTCACATTGAGAACCAAAGTTGGAGTCAGTGTCAGAACCTATATAGACCCTTATACGTAGGGACGTGGATTCCTTTTCACAATTCAGACCCAGACCTGTACATAAGTTTAACCTTACAAAACAACATAATCAAGCTCTAAAAACATTGAGCAGCAATCAGAATATTGTGATTAAACCAGCAGATAAGGGGTCTCAAATTGTTATAATGGATCAAATGCAATATTTTCTTGAAGCTAATAGACAATTAGATAATGTCAAACACTATGTCCCATTGCTCCACTCAACACAACTGGAAACACAAAGATTCATCCGGGAGATAGTGAGTAAACTGTATGAGGATAAGTATATTACAGATAAACAGATGGTCTACCTTTTTGGGCCAGATTCTCCAAGACCTAGGCAGTTTTACTTACTGCCTAAAATACATCAATCTCCTGAGACGTGGACGGTTCTCTCTCGACTTCCCTGCGGTAGACCAATAGCAAGTGATTGTGTCTCAGAATCTTATTGTATTGCTGAATATATAGATTTTTTATATCAATCCTCTTTCTCAGCTACAGTTGAAGTCAGAAGTTTACATACACCTTAGCCAAATACATTTAAACAATTCCTGACATTTAATACTAGTAAAAATTCCCTGTCTTAGGTCAGTTAGGATCACCACTTTATTTTAAGAATGTGAAATGTCATAATAATAGTAGAGAGAATGATTTATTTCAGCTTTTATTTCTTTCATCACATTCCCAGTGGGTCAGAAGTTTACATACACTCAATTAGTATTTGGTAGCATTGACTTTAAATTGTTTAACTTGGGTCAAACGTTTCGGGTAGCCTTCCACAAGCTTCCCACAATAAGTTGGGTGAATTTTGGCCCATTCCTCCTGACAGAGCTGGTGTAACTGAGTCAGGTTTGTAGGCCTCCTTGCTCGCACACACTTTTTCAGCTCTGCCCACAAATGTTCTGTAGGGTTGAGGTCAGGGCTTTGTGATGGCCACTCCAATACCTTGACTTTGTTGTCCTTAAGCCATTTTGCCACAACTTTGGAAGTATGCTTGGGGTCATTGTCCATTTGGAAGACCCATTTGCGACCAAGCTTTAACTTCCTGATTGATGTCTTGAGATGTTGCTTCAATTTATCAACATAATTTTCCTTCCTCATGATGCCATCTATTTTGTAAAGTGCACCAGTCCATCCTGCAGCAAAGGACCCCCACAGCATGATGCTGCCACCCCCGTGCTTCACGGTTGTGATGGTGTTCTTCGGCTTGTAAGCCTTCCCCTTTTTCCTCCAAACATAATGATGGTCATTATGGCCAAACAGTTCTATTTTTGTTTCATCAGACCAGAGGACATTTCTCCAGAAAGTACGATCTTTGTCCCCATGTGCAGTTGCAAACTGTAGTCTGGCTTTTTATGGCGGTTTTGGAGCAGTGGCTTCTTCATTGCTGAGCGGCCTTTCAGGTTATGTCGATATAGGACTCGTTCTATTGTGGATATATCGTTCTATGTTTCCGCCAGCATCTTCACAAAGTCCTTTACTGTTGTTCTGGGATTGATTTGCACTTTTCGCACCAAAGTACGTTCATCTCTAGGAGACAGAACGCGTCTCCTTCCTGAGCGGTATGACGGCTGCGTGGTCCCATGGTGTTTATACTTGCGTACTATTGTTTGTACAGATGAACGTGGTACCTTCAGGCGTTTGGAAATTGCTCCCAAGGATGAACCAGACTTGTGGAGGTTTACAACCTTTTTTCTGAGGTCTTGGCTGATTTCTTTTGATTTTCCCATAATGTCAAGCAAAGAGGCACTGAGTTTGAAGGTAGGCCTTGAAATACATCCACAGGTACACCTTCAATTGACTCAAATTATGTCAATTACATTTACATTTTAGTCATTTAGCAGACACTCTTATCCAGATAGACTTACAGTTTTAGTGAGTGCATAAATGTTTCATACTGGCCCCCTGTGGGAATCGAACCCATAACCCTGGCTTTGCAAGCACCATGCTCTACCAACTGAGCTACAGGAGGCCTATCAGGAGGCCTATTAGCCTATCAGAAGCTTCTAAAGCCATGACATCATTTTCTGGAATTTTCCAAGCTGTTTAAAGGCAAAGTCAACTTAGTGTATGTAAACTTCTGACCCACTGGAATTGTGATACTGTGAATTATAAGTGAAATAATCTGTCTGTAAACAATTGTTGGAAAGATTACTTGTGTCATGCACAAAGTAGATGTCCTAACCGACTTGCCAAAACTATAGCTTGTTAACAAGAAATTTGTGGAGTGGTTGAAAAACGAGTTTTAATGACTCCAACCTAAGTGTATGTAAACTTCCGACATCAACTGTATGTTAAGGATACTTATGAATTTGTCAACAGGCTGAAGGGTTCAAAGATACCAATAAATGCTTTTTTATTCTCCATTGATATGAATTCTCTGTACACAAACATAGATACCAAAATAGGTCTACAGGCAGTTGCAAATGCCTTTCAGAGGTATCCTGACCTTAGTCGACCAGATAGGGTTATCCTGGATTTGTTGGAGTTGAGCCTCACCAGAAAGGACTTTGTTCAATGGGAAGTACTACCTCCAGATACATGGTACAGCAATGGGAAAGAAATTCGCCCCAAGTTTTGCAAATGTGTACATTTGTTTTTTAGAAGAAACTGCTCTCCTTAAATGTAAGACCTTACCATTGCTGCACCTTAGGTATCTGGATGATATTTTTAGACTGTGGGTAGGCTCCACCTCTGAATTCTGGGAATTCTTAAACATTTTGAATTCACATCATTTAGCAATCACCATTACACATAATTTGCAATACAGAAAATGTGAATTTCTAGATACACAGGTCTTTTTCATTCAAAAGGAGGGATAAACCAAACAATTGGCAACTAAAGTTTTCTTTAAGGAAACAGATAGACATGCCCTCCTTCACAAATGTAGTTTCCATCCAAAACACACATATAGGGGGTTGATCAAATCACAACTTATACGTTTCCACAGAATCTGTAGTTTCACTGGGGATATAGAGGAGGCCACAAGAATACTCTTCTCAGTCTTAAGGCCCAGGGGCTACTCTAGGCAGTTCCTGAGAGAGGTTAAGGCTGAGGTAAATCAGACCTTCCAGACCTATGGAGCATATAAGGTAGAGAAGGATAACCGCCCTGTGGTTTCATTTGTGGGGACTTATTCGCAGGCTCTGGTGGGGTTCAACTGAACTTAAATCTAATTTTCAACAGTCCCAGAATGATTATGAGGCCTTGAAAGATGTCAGGGTAATCTCAGCCTATAGGAGGAATAAGAACTTGAAGGACATCTAGTACATTCAAGTTTGACTAAGAAGAAGCTGATACAGAATAAACATTTTACCCAAACAAAGTTTCTGTCCAATAGGCATTCAGGCTTGGGGGCCCCAATCAGGCATAATGTCCAGTTGGATACTGGAAATGTGGTTTATGCGATCGAGTTCCTTGTTTGTCTTAAACTCTATATTGGAGAGACACAAAATGCACTACAATGCAGACTTAAAAAACATACCACATTCAGAAAGGTGATAGATCCACTGTGTTGTATGCCCACTTTAGGGCTCATACAGTGGAGAACCTTAGAACTTTTGGACTGGAGATAAATATGGGGTGGTAAAAAACTCAAAGACAGAGGGTTGAGCGACAATGGATTAGAACAGTAGGAACCATTGATCCTCTAGGCCTTACTGAGAAATACTAAGCCACACAGTAATTTGTCTCCATCTTGTGGCTGCTTTAGACACTTGGAGTCTCCACTGGGATTTCTGAATTGGTTTAGGATAAAGCTACAGATCTATTGTACTTGTCATGATGATTATTATGTATTGTCTGGATTCCAGTAGAATTCTCTTTATCTTTGATTACTTTTGTGTGGATTTGGTAGAGATTGTGTGATGGAAATAATTCCTCATAGGCTTATTTTAGTTTAAATTTGAGTGAATATTTATAGGAATTTAATTTTGTCTCCCTCTTTTGGGGATCTGACTTAGGATTTGCACTTATTTCCCATCCCATATATTCCCTCTATTTGAAAGCACTTCAGATTCATTATTCTTATTTAATATATGTTGGTGTGTTTCTAAATATACATGTAAAGGTCTTGTAGCTATCACCAGCCTAGTATATAGACCTTTCCTTTTGAAGGACTGTTGTCTGGAACTATTCTAACCCGAATCACCCCCGAGGCCTGATCCCTAACCCTAACCCCTCTGGCTCCTATACCTAACCCGAACCACTCCAGAGACCTGAATCCTAACCTTAACCTCTCTGGCACTCATACCTGACCTTAAACATTCCTGAGGCCTGAGTCCTACCCTAAACCTCCTTGGTTCCCATGCCTAACCCTAACCTCTAGGGAGATCCAGATGCTTTTACCTACAACTATTACAAATATTTGTCTACAAATTATTTTGAATATACTCCCCTATTTTCTTATGTTAAAATCACGCACAACCCTAACCCTAGCCTCATGTTCAACCCTAACCCTAGCCTCAACCACAACCCCAACCCTAACCATAACCCTAGCTTCATGTGCACATCCCGGTTCAACCCTAACCCTAGCCTCAACCACAGCCCTAACCCTAGCTTAATGTCTACTTCCCGGTTAAACCCTAACCCTCAACCACAACGTTAATCCTAGCTTCATGTCCACATCCCGGGTAAACCTTAACCCTAGCCTCAACCACAACCTTAACCCTAACACTAACCCTAGCCTCAACCTTAACCCTAATACTAACCCTAGCTTCAACCTTAACCCTAACACTAACCCGAACTTCAACCAAAACACTAACCCTAGCTTCAACCAAAACCCTAACACTAACCCTAGCTTCAACCAAAACCCTAACACTAATCCTAGCTTCAACCAAAACCCTAACCATACCCTGAAGTAACCCTAAGTACAGTGTAAATAAAGTGTAATAATGAGTCATGTGGTACACTGTAAGTACAGGAATAATTACACAGTAATAAAAGCACTGTAATGTAAAGTGTAACCAAATAAAGTTATTATATTCTGTCAGGTTTGATAGAACATACCCAGTCTAGTCCAGATTATAGTGTATGTTTATAATGTCTGTGTCATGTGTGCTTTCAGGGAAAAGATCCACTACATCAGAACAGAGGGCACCCAAAGACTGGAGAAACTGGCATGTGATGCAGACCTGGTGATACTGTTGAGGTAGGTGGCAACTGTTAATTACCCCCTGAATGTTTCATTGTAGTACTGTCATTATTTCCATGTTTGTGACTTGTTGGATGTCCCTACAGCTTGTTTGAAGAGGAGATCATGTCTTATGTTCCGCCCTCCTTCCATCCTGGCTTCAGCTTCTCTCCACGCTGTTCACCAGGGTCTTCACCACAGAACTCTCCAGGTGGGTTGGCACTAATGGGAAACGGAGCCGTAGTGGGTTGAAAATGTACACACAAGAAAATTGGGTTTGAAAATGTATTCACAAGAATTGGTCAAAAACCATGTCACATATGGTTATACTTGTGTGATATCCATGTCTCATGTCATTGGAGGACAGCATGTCATGGAGTTGAATGTGCTTGTCCACAGGAATGTCGAGAGCGAGAGCGCCTGCCCCGTACCGGAGAGACTTTGAGGCCAAACTACGCAACTTCTACAGGAAACTGGAGGCTAAAGGCTACGGCCAGGGCCCAGGAAAGATCAAGTAAGGAAAACTGTCAAAAATGATTACTCACACCTTTTTCAAATACAGTTAGAGCTCTATACAAACCTACTGTTTCCAAGAAACGGTAGTGTTGTGTATGCAAATTAGCACCATACTGTATATCCATGTCTGTGTTGCTTAGCATCCTATGATGTTGTTGTGTTCCAGGCTTATCGTACGGAGAGACCACCTGTTGGAGGGTACCTTTAACCAGGTGATGGCCTACTCACGCAAGGAACTACAGAGGAATAAGCTCTACATCACCTTCATAGGAGAGGAGGGGTACGCAAAAGCTTCTTCTATTGGCCTGAACACAGACATTACAACAAAGAGGGCCTTTGATCCTTGAGGTTCAACCATTGAATGAAATAACATGTCTTTACGATGACGGAATTAAAGTCAGTTACTTTGAAGTAGTAATGAACGTGTCAAGAAGAAAAAAAACGATTGTCTTTTAAAGAACGAACTGCTAGTTTTTGGGCGATAGAGAGGTTAACGAATGTTTGTTTTATTTGTCTGCTTCTTACATAACTCTGGTCTCTTCTTTTCCCACGCCGTCAGGCTGGACTACAGTGGGCCATCCAGAGAGTTCTTCTTCCTGCTGTCTCAGGAGCTGTTCAACCCCTACTATGGCCTGTTTGAGTACTCAGCCAACGACACATACACCGTCCAGATCAGCCCAATGTCCGCCTTCGTAGAGAACCATCTGGAATGGTGAGGAGGGCATCTGCTTGTCCTGTGTTTAAGATTCCTTTAAACTCATGAAACCTGGGGTGTGTTCATTAGACCCCAATGGGAAGAAAACTGACTGAAACCGGGAGGTACTACCTTGACTTGTCTTATTAGAAATGCTCTTAATTGTTTTCCGTTGCAACGCATTTTCAAATGTTTTACATTGTCCTAATGAACATGACCCTGGGCTTGTTCTTGTTTGTTTAACTATTGGAGAAAAAAAGTAATGGGTTTCATGGAAATCTCATGTCATGTCACCACTTTAATTGCATTGGATTTGTAGTTGTGTGTGAGACCTGTCTGTGTGTGTTTGTGTGCAGGTTCCGGTTTAGTGGGCGTATTTTGGGACTGGTGTTGATCCACCAGTATCTTCTGGATGCCTTCTTCACGCGGCCCTTCTACAAGGCTCTCCTCAGACTGTGAGTGTCTCTGTCTGTCTGTCGACATTGGCCTTTACAATTCTTCTGTACAATTTTTCTGTGCAGCATTCTTTACAATTACACACAAAGGAAATGCACCTCAGGCTAGTGAGTGAGTTGCTCCCCTTGATTGACTTTAAGGTAGTGGGTTGCTTTGTGCATTAATACCTAGTGAACCCCAAAGCAGTTCATGTGTGAGATAAGTATGTTTACCTGTGCAGAGCCACTGACCTGAGTGATCTGGAATACCTAGACGAGGAGTTCCATCAGAGTCTACAGTGGATGAAAGACAATGACATCACTGACATGCTGGACCTTACCTTCACTGTGAATGAGGAAGTCTTCGGACAGGTATGTGTGTGTCCTCCACAGGAGGTTGGTGGCACCTTAATTGGGGAGGACGGGCTTGTCGTAATGGCTGGAGCGGAATAAGTGGAATGGTATCAAATACATCAAACACATGGTTTCCATAAGAAATGCGTACAGTGTCTAAACAAAGCAAGCTAAATTATAAGATTATGTTATTTTACTACAAAATTAGCCTCATGATAAGTGTATATCTTTCAGTATATACACTATATATATAAAGGTATGTGGACACCCCTTCAAATTAGTTGATTCAGCTATTTCAGCCACACCCGTTGCTGACAGGTGTATAAAATCAAGCACACAGCCATGCAATCTCCTTAGACAAACATTGGCAGTAGAAAGGCCTTCCTGAAGAGCTCAGTGACTTTCAACGTGGCACCCTCATAGGATGCGTCCTTTCCAACAAGTTAGATCGTCAAATTTCTGCCCTGCTAGAGCTGCCCCGGTCAACTGTAAGTGTTGTTATTGTGAAGTGGAAACGTCTAGGAACAACAACAGATCAGCCGCGAAGTGGTAGGCTACACAAGCTCACAGAACGGGCCCGCCAAGTGCTGAAGCGCGTAGCACGTAAAAATCATCTGTCCTCAGTTGCAACACTTACTACGAGTTCCAAACTACCTCTGGAAGCAACGTCAGCACAAGAACTGTTCGTCGGGAGCTTCATTAAATGGGTTTCCATGGCCGAGCAGCCACACACAAGCCTAAGATCACCATGCGCAATGCCAAGCGTCGGCTGGAGTGGTGTAAAGCTTGCTGCCATTGGACTCTGGAGCAGTGGAAACGCGTTCTCTGGAATTATGAATCACGCTTCACCACCTGGCAGGCCAACGGACAAATCTGGGTTTGGCAGATGCCAGGAGAACGATACCTGCCCGAATGCATAGTGCCAACTGTAAAGGAATAATGGTCTAGGGCTGTTTGGGCTAGGGCCCTTAGTTCCAGTGAAGAGAAATGTTAACGCTACAGCATACAATGACATTCTAGACAATTTTGTGCTTCGAACTTTGTGGCAACAGTTTGGAGAAGGCCCTTTCCTGTTTCAGCATGACAATGCCCCCATGCACAAAGCGAGGTCCATACAGAAATGGTTTGTCAATTTCGGGTGTGGAAGAACTTGACTGGCCTGCACAGAGCCCTGAAACCTCAACTCCATCAAACACCTTTGGGATTGTCATGACTTGCCCTCATGGGTTGAGGATCAAAGATGCCAGCTAGGCAAAGGTTTGAACACCCCCTCTCCTGGGGGCCAGTTTTATGACTGGTTGTAAATTCCTTTTCCATGCCATGCAGTATTGGGAGAGGGAATTTCCCTGTGAAACAAAGGAAGTCTTCCCGCCAAGACTCCAACATCCAAAAGTGGATAATGAAACAATATTCATACTTCATAGAATGTGGGAAATGGTCAGTGGCGACTTAAAGAACAATCATGTCAAATTCGTTACTATGTTGTGATGTCATTAAAGACGGTGGAACAAAATAACTGTATCTCTGGGGGTGTATCTCTTCCCAGTTATGAGGTTTGCTCTAATTGTTTTATAAAACGAATGATTAAGTATAATAACACTTTTGTGAAGATAAATGTGATTTTAGCATTCTAGATGAGATGATTGTTTCCATATTGATTTGTTCTGTCAGTGGCCACGCCCAGATGAACACAAACATGATGAAACGCCCCCTTTCTTACTCAAGTATAAAACCCCTCGTGACGAAATAAACTCTACAGACCAGCAGACGTGAAGTGTGAGCTAAACGTTACAAAATTGTTTAAAACAACAACTCCATTACCAAAGGAAGACCAAGCAGATTACGGTATAAGCCGGATGTTGCAAATGGTTGAATTTCTACCAGACCAGGAAGCGTGAAGCTGAAGCTACACGGCTTAAAATGGTTAAACTCTACAGACCAGCCGACATGCAGCGCAAGCTGAATATGGCAAAATGGTGAAACTCTGAAACTATCAACCTCTACACAAGGTGAAGAAGAAGACAACACACTAGACCTTATCATCTCAGTCTGCAGCTGGCATGTATAGTCGTCTAGAGAACTTTCACTAAAGACACGAGTTGGGAAGGACAATACCTCTCAGACAACCTTTGGTACATCTGAGGTATCTGTCTAACAGATCAACTCTTCGAACTACAGGGTACGCTGAAGTATCCATTCTAACAACCACTACGACCAGAAACTCTACCAAGGACATTGGGATCTCTGGTGGGCAAACCAGAGTCTTACATCATCAACTCACCTATCGAGGACAGCTACACGTAAGTACATGTTGCATTTCTAATCCGAATGAGCGATGATTAGGGTTCTAAGCATTTGTATTTCGTTGAGCGTAGTTTACAAAGTAACAACGATAGTTTGAATCTCTGTCTCTCCCTTCCAAGCGTTCATGCTATTGTTAGTCCAGTCCACTAGGGACCTGTTTTCATTGTATTATGTTAGTAATCAATAACCTGTGTGTATGTGTGTTTGTATTGTGTTATTATTTAGTTAGTAAATAAATAATTAAGCCAATTTGTGTATTGCTGATTCATCAATAAGGTTAGTGTCACGATCGTTTATAGACGGGACGGACCAAGGCGCAGCGTGATATGCATACATGTTTATTTATATTGAATAAACACCACGACAAAACAACAAATGAAATGAAACGTGAAGTCCAAGGTAGACAAACAACATACCTCACACGGAACAAGATCCCACCACCCACTAGTGCCAATAGGCTGCCTAAGTATGGGCTCAATCAGAGACAACGAGCGACAGCTGCCTCTGATTGAGAACCACACCGGCCAACATAGATCTAGACATACTAGATTCTACAACAATGAACAAACACAACAAGGAAAATCACACCCTGACTCAACAAATAAGAGTCCTCAGAGTCAGGGCGTGACAGTACCCCCCCCCCCCCCCCCCCAAAGGTGCGGACTCCGACCGCGCCACATAAACATAACAGGGTAGGGGCCGGGTGGGCATTCGATCCGGCTCCGGGCGTGACCACCACTTACTCTCCACCTCCCTGTTGCGCCCCTGGTCTGGTCTGGACCTCGGCGCGCTGCTTCCCCTCTCCTTCCTCCCACGAAGTACCAAGCCCTGTCTGGACCCTGGTATGGGAGACCCCGAACCTGGAGAGGGGCTGACATCTGGGTCTGGACTGGAACCGCTGACTGGAGCTGGACCCAACGACGGTGGATCGAACTGCTCTGGCTCCGGAGTGGAGCCGCTGACCGGAGCTGGATCAGGCACCGGTGGAGCGGACTGCTCTGGCTCCGGAGTGGAGCCGCTGACCGGAGCTGGACTGGACCCCGGTGGAGCGGATTGCTCTGGCTCCGGAGTGGAGCAGCTGACCGGAGCTGAACTGGGCACCGGTGGAGTGGACTGCTCTGGCTCCGGAGTGGATCCGCTGACCGGCGCTGGACTGGACCCCGGTGGAGCGTATTGCTCTGGCTCCGGAGTTGAGCAGCTGACCGGTGCCGGACCAGGCACCGGTGGAACAGGCACGGGCCATGCCGGACTAGACACACGCACCACTGGCTTGGTGCGAGGGACAGGAACAGGCCGGACCGGACTGGCGACGCGCACCACTGGCTTGGTGCGAGGGGCAGGAGCAGGCCGGGCCGGGCTGGCGACGCGCACCACTGGCTTAGTGCGAGGGGCAGGAACAGGCCAGGCCGGACTGGCGACGCGCACCACTGGCTTAGTGCGGGGAGCAGGAACGGGTCGGGCCGTACTGGGAACACGCACCACTGGCTTAGTGCGGGGAGCAGGAACGGGCCGGACCGGACTGGCGACACGCACCACTTGATTGGTGCGAGGAGCGGGACTGGGTTCCTTCTGCTGCCTAACCAGCTCCTCTCGCCGTGCCTCTACACTTTCCTTCTGCTCCCTCTGAACCAATGGCCCCTGTAATCTGGTGGCCTCCTCTGCTAACCAGCGGAACCGCCCTGTCGCGGCCTCCTGCTGCCTCGTCGTCCACACCGTGTGCCCCCCAAAAATGTTTGGGGGGGATTGTCTCTCCACTGTGATCAGGGCCTCCCTCCTTCTTGCCAGCCTCTCGCTCATCTCCTCCCAAGTCCATCCTCTCTGCTCCTCCTCGGCACACTGTTTGGTCCAGGTCTGGTGGGATCTTCTGTCTTGATCGTTGACGAACGAGAAGGACCAAGGCGCAGCGTGATATGCATACATGTTTATTTATATTGAATAAACACCACGACAAAACAACAAATGAAATGAAACGTGAAGTCCAAGGTAGACAAACAACATACCTCACACGGAACAAGATCCCACTACCCACTAGTGCCAATAGGCTGCCTAAGTATGGGCCCCAATCAGAGACAACGAGCGACAGCTGCCTCTGATTGAGAACCACACCGGCCAACATAGATCTAGACATACTAGATTCTACAACAATGAACAAACACAACAAGGAAAATCACACCCTGACTCAACAAATAAGAGTCCTCAGAGTCAGGGCGTGACAGTTAGGGTTCTTGCAGGTTCAAGGATTATGCGATGTTCAGAATGAGACTGATAAGAGGTCATTATTTAATAAGTGACTGTTATCGATATATAACATATATCTTCTAAGAGTTTAATTCGGGAGATGGTAACTTGTTAAACAACTTCTTCCGTGGTGCCCCAAATTCCTAATGAGTTAATTGTTACATGATGAATTTATTCGAGTGACAATTAAACATAGTTAGTTGATTCGATAAATAACAGTCATACATTAAGTCACGTCACGACAGGATGAATTGGAACGCAGACTGCGAGCCAGGCCTAATTGCCCAACATCAGTGCTCGACCTCACTAATGCTCTTGTGGCTGAAGGGAAGTCTCCGCAGCAATGTTCCAACATCTAGTGGAAAGCCTTCCCAGAAGAGTGGAGGCTGTTATAGCAGCAAAGGGGGGACCAACTCCATATTAATGCCCATGATTTTGGAATGAGATGTTCGACAAGCAGGTGTCCACATACTTTTGGTAATGTAGTGTACTTTCATTGGGACTTTTGCATTGTAAGATATGTCTGTATTGTAACATGGATATTGCTCTATTTGCGGGCAGGTAACAGAGAGAGAGCTGAAGTCTGGAGGGGCCAACATTAATGTGACAGAGAAGAATAAGAAGGAGTACATTGACCGCATGGTGAAATGGAGGGTGGAGAGAGGAGTGGTCAAGCAGACAGAGGCACTGGTCAGGGGCTTCTATGAGGTACAGTAAACACTCTCAGGACAACATTCAATGGCCATGGCATGATTTTCCCCAATATTTCTCATTTGGTTTGTCCAGCCTTTAAGATGGCTTTCACATTGCACTTCAAATATGATTTTTTCAAGTTTCTTAGAATGCAATAGAACATGACTATCAAATTAAGTCACCTAGTGAATGACAGGAGCAATGTGTCTAAATACGTACACTCCTACATCGTTTTTAATGTTCTATGTTTTGGATATATTTCTCCAGGTGGTGGATTCCCGGCTGGTGTCAGTGTTCGATGCCAGAGAGTTGGAGCTGGTCATCGCTGGGACAGCGGAGATAGACCTCAATGACTGGAGGAACAACACAGAGTATAGAGGAGGTGAGCAGACTTCAGGGGAGCACATTACTGGACATTACCTAATGGAGAATCTTGAATGAACATGCATTTTAGTCTAGGACTATGGTTAATGTGTGTCCCAACATGTTTTTAAAGGCAATGTACCCACTACCATGACACCCATGTGATGCAAAGGGCACATTCAATGGGGAGGTGATTATTTTTATTTGTATTAATTTGTATATACATTTTTTATTGGTAACCCTCAGCACCTCTACTTCCCGCGGCTATGTCCAATATGGCCGAACGGTGTCTCCAAAGCCTCTCAATAGTCAATAATCATTGGATGCAGCCATGTTGCTGGAATGAATGTGCCAAAACTTGCAACTGGAAAAAAGGCAGCAAAGCAAAGGCCAGGGTAACATAACCAAAGATAGGGAAAATTGCAGGAAAGAGGGAGGTGTTTTATTTAAATGCGTTATTATTAAAAAGCAACAACACTGAAAACTTTTTTGTTGCATCAATTTACAATTAATTTGCTCTCGCATTTTAAAGTTATTTCCTCGCAATATTTTGTTTTGCGATCAATACTTTTGCTTTCAATATATATATATATTTAGAAATACTAACAATTTTTATCTCGACTTCAGAAGTTTTGTGAAAGTTTTTAACATGTGAAACTGCAATTCACATGTGAGGTGAAAACATGTTATTCTCCTCACATATGAAAAGGTGGTGTTAACATGTGAACTCTAAATTGAATACATGAAAATATCCTTTAATGTGACATTTAAGCTCAACATGTGAAAATGTGATTTCACATGTGAAAATGCGATTTCACGTATGAAAATGTGATTTTCACATTGTGACACTGCAATTTTGACATTACTGATGGGGGAAAAATCCATACAGTTACATATCGCAATATTATTTTTGGACTATATTATATAGATAAAAACAATACATATGTCGTTTTTGCTAGGTAGCGTTAGCTAGCGTTAGTCGGCTGTACCTGTGCCTATCCTATAGCTTGTTCTCCATCTTCTTTTTAAATAGTGAGCCAACATGTTTTCAGCACTTTTATTTCCATGGCTGATTAAATCATATGTACTCATTCTCTCTCTTCTCTCTGCAGCAGAGATATAGTGAGCAATATGTTTGGAACATCAAACTGCAATAAAACTGAAGTATCGAATCGCAATACATATAGAATCGTGAGAATCATGCGAATCGCAATAAATATTGTTGTTTCGGCATCTAAGTATCATGATAAGATTGTATTATGAGGTCCCTGGCAATTCCCAGCCCTATTTGACATGTGTTGAACCATCATCCCTGTTGCCTAGTTTCTATACTGTATATGCTGTAGCCAACTCTTCTATGGCATGTCAACAATAAAGGAGTTGGCTTCCGCACATCACATCCGATATGGGACCAAGCTACCACCCCTGTACCCCGTCTCTGACATGCCCTATTGGCCTTCTGCATCGCAGGCTACCATGACAGCCACATAGTGATCAGGTGGTTCTGGGGGGCCGTGGAGCGCTTCAACAACGAGCAGAGGCTGCGTCTGCTGCAGTTTGTGACTGGCACCTCCAGTGTTCCCTACGAGGGCTTCACCGCTCTACGGGGCAGTAACGGCCTGCGACGCTTCTGCATCGAGAAGTGGGGCAAGATCACCGCTCTACCAAGGTAATATAAGCTCTCTACCCAAAGTAGAGTGGACCTAGACAATCATTTCTACCATTAAATCCTGCTATTACAGGTATAGATTCAAACTGTCCTATGCTGTTATCCTCCAAACCACTACATAACAATGTATAGTATTTGTAGAGAACTCTATTCTGTTGAATTGGTTTTCTGCTCTGATGCATGGTCTATATCTTCCAGGGCACACACATGCTTCAACCGGCTTGATCTCCCTCCATACCCGTCCTACACCATGCTCTACGAGAAACTGCTGATCGCTGTGGAGGAGACCAGCACTTTTGGCCTTGAGTGAAGGAGAGAGAAGTTGTGCATCCCAAATGGCACCTTATTCCCTATATAGTGCACTACAAAGTAGTGCATTATGTAGGGAATAGGGTGCAATTTGGGAAGCAATCAAGATCTTAAATAGGATCCTGTGCCTCAGGACTGGGGACTCTACTGTACACAACACTCCCTTTATACTGTACATTTCAATACAACAGCCAGAGGACTGTACATTTCTCTTTTTTAACAATCTATGTACAGTATACAAGCAAAAGGAAAAGCCAAGCACCACCACATGCATTACTCACATGTTACAATGTACCTTTGTTACGGGGATATTGCATAAAGGCACCAAGCTGTGTGCAATAGCTCTTATTTGCTCAGCCTATATCAGCACTCAGGGCTTTGACTCAACACATCACACCTACACCAATGAATAGTCTAGTCCATCTCTCACAGTGCACCTTGCACCAACAGCCTTAGCAAGCATCATCACATGATCTATCACCAACCACAACCAACATTATCAGTAGAAGAAATGCCTCAACTCGCTTTATCAGAGGGAGAGAAATGCCTCAAATACTGTCACATGAACCACTACAACCAACATTATCTCATGACGTTGTGTTCCGACTTCAGCAATTCCACTTCAAATATTGCTGCCACTGGGATTATCCCAGGATATGACATCAGCAAAGGACTGGGTCATCAACATCTCTCAAATTCTTAATTGTCCTAAGTTTTTAACAAGATTTTGTGAACATTGTGAAATATAAGGAGAGATTCAATAGTATCGCAAGATCCTACCGCAATTTCAAAATTACTGTTAGAGGATTCTGAGGATATTTAAGTGAAAACTATGTTTTATCGCTAAAAACACATAAGTGGAATTGATGTAAACCTTGAAGATGATTGGGAAATGAACACAAACCAGTTTTACTGTAAGTGATTAGAGTGAAGGGAGGTGAAGAAACCCCCTTTAACAACAATGTCTGATCAGAAAAATAACTGTTTCGATGTGCTCCATGTGAAAACAACACACTTATTTTTCCCCTCTTGATTTTGAGAACCATTTGATGTTTACATGAGGTGTGTTATTTCTTGTTTTAACACACTTTAACATTATGAATGTTTCATTTTCACAAGATTGTTGTATTTCATTTGTACATGGTAGACTGTGTATAACGCTACAGATTATTTTGGAAGGAAGTGTTTTAAAATATTTCAGCAGGTTTTTGTATAATTTTTTAAATCATGGGAAATACAACAGGACATATTGCATTGTTTAAATGTATATTCAAATACTGAGGCAAACCAAGAGAGAACAATTTAAGTAAATGTGCAGGTATTGTGTTTAGATTATACTGGATCTTATTCTTCCTGAATATTTGTTGCACTTCTGAGGAGTTGACACAGTAAATTCACCTCAAATGTATGTATACCACTATTCGAACAAAAATCTATTATGTTTTGTAATGTTTATCAACGTAACACTAATTGCAATTATTATACACTATAGTTCTTGCTGAACAGAAAACAGTAGATTACAATGCTGTTGACCTGTTACCGCACTTGTGTTATAGCAGAGGGTTAACATGTTTGATTTTGTTTCAGTGTATGCCTGTATGTCTACCCTTGGCCACAGTCATAAGTGCTGTGACATGAAAATGTAATTGACTTAAAATTGACGTCATGTTGGTGTGTCTTTTGTCAGTTCTAGGTTGCCATGCCACATCCATTTAGGACAGACCCCACAGGGTTGCTTTATTCATTTCCCCTCATGTAGCCATTTAATGCACATATCCTATAGCGACTTTATCATTATAGGATAGGACAGCTGTTATGGTCTGCAAATGCCATGCCTTAACATGAAAACACTGTATATAACAACATGCCACTGTCAGACAGACATACAGTACCAGTCAAAAGTTTGAACACACCTACGCAGTCAAGGGTTTTTCTTTATTTTTACTATTTTGTACATTGTAGAATAATCGTGAAGACATCAAAACTATGAAATAACACATATGGAATCAATTAGTAACCAAAAAAGTGTTAAACAAATCAAAATATATTTTTGATTTTAGATTCTTCAAAGTAGCCACCCTTTGCCCTAATGACAGCTTTGCACACTCATGGCATTCTCTCAACCAGCTTCACCTGGAATGCTTTTCTAACAGTCTTGAAGGAGTTCCCACATATGCTAAGCACTTGTTGGCTGCTTTTCCTTCACTCTGCGGATCAACTCATCCCAAACCATCTCAATTGGGTTGAGGTCGGGTGATTGTGGAGGCGAGGTCATCACTCTCCTTCTTGGTCAAATAGCCCTTACACAGCCTGGAGGTGTGTTGGGTCATTGTCCTGTTGAAAAACAAATGATAGTCCCACTAAACGCAAACCAGATGGGATGGCGTATCGCTGTAGAATGATGTGGTAGCCATGCTGGTTAAGTGAGCCTTGAATTCTAAATAAATCACTGACAGTGTCACCAGCAAAGCACCCCCACATGATCACACCTTCTCCTCCATGCTTCACGGTGGGAACCACACATGCGAAGATAATCCATTCACCTACTCTGCATCTCACAAAGACACGGCAGTAGGAACCAAGAATCTCAAATTTGGACTCATCAAACCAAAGGACAGATTTCCACCGGTCTAATTTCCATTGCTCGTGTTTCTTGGCCCAAGCAAGTCTCTTCTTCTTATTGGTGTCCTTTACTAGTGGTTTCTTTGCAGCAATTCGACCATGAAGGCCTGATTCACGCAGCCCCCTTTGAAGCATTTATTTGGGCTGCAATTTCTGAGGCTGATAACTCTGCAGCAGAGGTCTTCCTTTCCTGTGGCGGTCCTTATGAGAGCCAGTTTCATTTTTTTATTTTGTCATTTAGCAGACGCTCTTATCCATAGCGACTTACAGTTAGTGAGTGCATACATTCTTTTTTTCTTTTTCATACTGGCCCCCAGTGGGAATCAAACCCACAACCCTGGCGTTGCAAACGCCCTGCTCTACCAACTGAGCTACATCCCTGCCGGCCATTCCCTCCCCTACCCTGGACAACGCTTGGCCAATTGTGTGCCGCCCCATGGGTCTCCCGGTGGCGGCCGGCTACGACAGAGCCTGGATTCGAACCAGGATTTCTAGTGGCACAGCTAGCACTGCGATGCAGGATAGCCTTAGACCACTGCGCCACTCGGGAGGTCAACAGAAACATATATTTATTCATCACAGCGCTTGATGGTTTTTGCGACTGCACGTGCAATAAAATCGAAGTATCGAATCGCAATACATATAGAATCGTGAGAATCATACGAATCGCAATATATATTGTTTTGGCACCTAAGTATCATGATAAGATTGCATTGTGAGGTCCCTGGCAATTCCCAGCCCTATTTATTATTATTTTTTTGTCATTTAGCAGACGCTCTTATCCAGAGCGACTTACAGGAGCAATTAGGGTTAAGTGCCTTGCTCAAGGGCACATCGACAGATGTTTCACCTAAGCGACCTTTCGGTTACTGGCACAACACTCTTAACCACTAAGCTACCTGCCGCCCTATTTGACATGTGTTGAAGCATCATCCCTGTTGCCTGGTTTGTATACTGTATATGCTGTAGCCAACTCTTCTATGGCATGTTTTTGGTTACTACATGATACCATATGTGTTATTTCATAGTTTTGATGTCTTCACTATTATTCTACAATGTAGAAAATAGTAAGAATAAAGAAAACCCCTTGAATGAGTAGGTGTGTCCAAACTTTTGACTGGTACTGTACGTAGGCCTCTAACTGAGTTGGTTGCAGACTAATTGAATAATCTGCATCTTCATGTTCATTGTTATAGTAGTTTGATATTAGAAGAGAGACACCAGAAACTGATATTGAACACTACTACTGTACTTACATGACCTATGTTTCTGTTCAAATCTTTTCACTTTATCTCTGGTGTTCATTTCCTTGGACAATTAAGATTTTGGAATGTATAGTGAGTGCATTTATAGTTGCTATTATGAAATATTGTCAGAAAGCATTTTGAAATGACAAAATGTCAGATATGCAGTACAAAATTGAAGGGCGTTAATAATGTATTTTCTATTTATTTGTTGTCTACACTATGTTTTTGTACAGTATGTACAGTGGGGAGAACAAGTATTTGATACACTGCCAATTTTGCAGGTTTTCCTACTTACAAAGCATGTAGAGGTCTGTCATTTTTATCATAGGTACACTTCAACTGTGAGAGACGGAATCTAAAACAAAAATCCAGAAAATCACATTGTATGATTTTTAAGTTATTAATTTGCATTTTATTGCATGACATAAGTATTTGATACATCAGAAAAGCAGAACTTAATATTTGGTACAGAAACCTTTGTTTGCAATTACAGAGATAATATGTTTCCTGTAGGTCTTGACCAGGTTTGCACACACTGCAGCAGGGATTTTGGCCCACTCCTCCATACAGACCTTCTCCAGATCCTTCAGGTTTCGGGGCTGTCGCTGGGCAATACGGACTTTCAGCTCCCTCCAAAGATGTTCTATTGGGTTCAGGTCTGGAGACTGGCTAGGCCACTCCAGGACCTTGAGGTGCTTCTTACGGAGCCACTCCTTAGTTGCCCTGGCTGTGTGTTTCGGGTCGTTGTCATGCTGGAAGACCCAGCAACGACCCATCTTCAATGCTCTTACTGAGAGAAGGAGGTTGTTGGCCAAGATCTCGCGATACATGGCCCCATCCATCCTCCCCTCAATACGGTGCAGTCGTCCTGTCCCCTTTGCAGAAAAGCATCCCCAAAGAATGATGTTTCCACCTCCATGCTTCACGGTTGGGATGGTGTTCTTGGGGTTGTACTCATCCTTCTTCTTCCTCCAAACACGGCGAGTTGAGTTTAGACCAAAAAGCTCTATTTTTGTTTCATCAGACCACATGACCTTCTCCCATTCCTCCTCTGGATCATCCAGATGGTCATTGGCAAACTTCAGACGGGCCTGGACATGCGCTGGCTTGAGCAGGGGGACCTTGCGTGCGCTGCAGGATTTTAATCCATGACGGCGTAGTGTGTTACTAATGGTTTTCTTTGAGACTGTGGTCCCAGCTCTCTTCAGGTCATTGACCAGGTCCTGCCGTGTAGTTCTGGGCTGATCCCTCACCTTCCTCATGATCATTGATGCCCCACGAGGTGAGATCTTGCATGGAGCCCCAGACCGAGGGTGATTGACCGTCATCTTGAACTTCTTCCATTTTCTAATAATTGCGCCAACAGTTGTTGCCTTCTCACCAAGCTGCTTGCCTATTGTCCTGTAGCCCATCCCAGCCTTGTGCAGGTCTACAATTTTATCCCTGATGTCCTTACACAGCTCTCTGGTCTTGGCCATTGTGGAGAGGTTGGAGTCTGTTTAATTGAGTGTGTGGACAGGTGTCTTTTATACAGGTAACAAGTTCAAACAGGTGCAGTTAATACAGGTAATGAGTGGAGAACAGGAGGGCTTCTTGAAGAAAAACTAACAGGTCTGTGAGAGCCGGAATTCTTACTGGTTGGTAGGTGATCAAATACTTATGTCATGCAATAAAATGCAAATTAATTACTTAAAAATCATACAATGTGATTTTCTGGATTTTTGTTTTAGATTCCGTCTCTCACAGTTGAAGTGTACCTATGATAAAAATTACAGACCTCTACATGCTTTAAGTAAGAAAACCTGCAAAATCGGCAGTGTATCAAATACTTGTTCTCCCCACTGTATATGTATCAGAATGTTTTAAGTTACTGTTGAAAATGTGTCTCATGCTATGCACATTTCCTGTGGTGAAGAACAAGCAATGCAATTTTCAAACAATAATCTGTTGCTTATTTTGAAAATCTCACACGATATTTCTCCATTAAGATATTGTTTGCAGCTAGTGAACGTTTTATGACCATTCTTTAGTTCTCAGAAACCCTCTCACGGGTCTACATGTTTCACTGTCTTTCCCCACTTTTTCCTCATAGATTTTCATTGCCAGACAGTATTCTTTGGTTGTCTGTTGGGCTCACATGCAGTAATTCTCAGGCTGCGCTTTCAATTCGAACATAGTACTGTTAACAAATGTCAATAAACAATAACTTTGTAAAGCACCTTTCTTCTAATAGTTTTATGAGTGGGAAGGTGGTCATTTCCAGTTGGGAAGTAGTAAATACCAGTTGGATGCATTCATGTGCTTTGAACTCGTTAAGAAACACTGATTGGCTAATGGCAAACAAGCTTCATCACCCATAAACTAAAAGTACAGCTATCATGCTTGCAAACAAATTACAGTGTTAAAAAAAACATACTAATAGATTGCTTTTTATAAATAATATTTAGTTGTTGAATTTAACTACCGAAAATGCTGTTATTTTGGTAATTTCCTTAGTACGTGACGTCAGAGGTCAGCATGTGGGAGAAGTTGAAGCTCAGGGATGATAGATGAGTTTCCAACTAGTAGCCTACTTACCAGTTTGGGGGGAGCATTCAAGTGGATTTTTCCCCAGTCGTAAGTGGTAAATATCCCCTTCCCACTTGGTTATGAATGCAGGGTTAGGCTGGGCTGGCTACATGAGCTCAAGTTCAAGACCCCGCCCGCCTCATTAAAGGAGCAATCTGAAGTAGAGCCCCACACTGGAGTTGTCATAATACCCATAAAACCTAGTGGTCAAACAGGGAAATGGTTCCAATTGTTTTCCCACCATTCATTTTTCCCATAGGGAATTTTAGAAACAAAAATAATATTTTTAGAAATTAAAATAAGGGCTGTGTATCGTGTAGGCTTACCCTGGCTGGATGTTTTGATAACCATGTAAATCTCTCTCGGACAAGGTGATTTTTATCAATATATTTGGCTCTATTTACTCTCAGATTCGAAAATGCTAATTAGCATCAACGTAGCTATGCAAGACTACAAATCCCTGCAAGCTCCTGCACGTCATATCCAGCTGACACCTTTACTAACAGGTATTGTATCAATTTAAAACTTGCACAAGACATTTAACATCATTGCCAATTTAAAGAAATGTAGCCAATTTATTCATTATTAAATTTAGCTAACAGTAGATAGTTAATCCAGAGATTCTTACCTTTGCCTCAATTCGGCAATCTCGTCCAGATCATCAAGGCATTTGTAGTTCTTTATGAACTACACATTAGCAGCTAATTAGCATTTCGTTTTTGGGGGGTAAATGCAGGCTAATATATTGATAAAAGTCACACCAGGGTAAGCCTACACGAAACACAGCCCTTACTTTAAGTGTTTCTAAAATCCCCTATGGGAAAAATGAATGGTGGAAAAAACGATTGGAACCATTTAATTGTTTGACTGCTAGGTTTTATGGGTATTATTACTCATACTGTGGTACCCTGTTGCTACATACATTGTTGGACTTATAAATGAAGATGCACCTATTGATTCTTGAAGAATATAACATTTTAGTTAGTGGTCAGCTTTTAAAAGGATTGCCCCTTTAACTCGGCAACATTCCGGAAGTGCGTTCTCGTGAGATCATAGAGATAGATAGAGGACTCAAGTGCCCAAAAGTCTGATTTACCATGGGAAGCATCATTGAGGACTTTCACCATTTTTAAGTAGTCAAATGGGTGGAACTTCCTGTGGTTTGAGGAAGGATCACATGATTCCATCCGGGTCATCAGGAGGGATCAGCCAATGAATTATACTTGTGAGAAAACATTCCATAACTGCAGGTGGCAGTAAATCGCCATCTGTGGCTTTATACCTGTTCAAACAATACCCTGCAGGTGGCAGTATGGACCCTTTCAGTTTGTTTGCCAACTCATAGAAGTAGTAGAAGAAGAAAATTGACTACTTCAAAATGGAGAGCGCTGCCCATGCTCTCACAGACGCCATAATAGGACAGATACAATGATGCGGTGTCTATCTATGTCTATGGGTGAGATATATCAGCTACTGCCTCTGTGCTAAATTGACTTTTGCCAAGAGCGTTACAGAACAGCCAGTCAAACAACTGTCTATGCATGACTGCCTCACAACTGCGGATAACATTTAAGTATCTCATTTGACACAGAGTGGTTGACTAGAATACAAAATTAGGTTTGGTCATAAATGCCCTTACTTGGAAGCTTCTCCAAAACGCAAAAGAACGGGAATTTTGTTGCACTCTCAACAACGCATCTTTTATATTAAAGAATATTCAACAAGTGAACCGAGAATGGTACCACCACCCAGTCCTAGGGTCACCGACACAAGAAGCTGCACAAGATGCCTCCGTCAGACCGAGACGAACCAGGGAGCCACTGCGCTTCTTCTAGACAACATCAAAACCCCAATCAGGACCGAGTCATTTCAGGAACTCTACAACGTTATACCTGGCAAAGAGCTAGGCAGGTGAGTTGAACATTGTAGGTAGTAAGTTAACAGGTTGGACCTTTAAAAAACATACAGTAGGCCTAACTTTTTGTTATTCTCTGCCTGGGTGTATAAATACTTATGTTCCAACGTGGGATACTTTGTAGATCATAGTGCATGGTTGTCCTTTTTAATCAATGTTCAAAGTGGGTAACCTCAGGCACCATCCATTGGATGTATGAATATCTTGTCATTTATTTATCAAGGATGTGCGTTTTTAACATACATTTAGGCATTTGACATTTTCATGCTAAAACATGAGGAGTCCATCGTTTCAAGTCAAAACTGTCAGGATGACATAAATACAATTGCATTAAAGATACAGTAGATACTCATTGCCTAGTCCCTTTCCCCAGCTGTAAGTGCAAGACTGGCAAGTGAGTCTAGCCCTTGACATACTAAACATAAAGAGAACTGAAGCAAGCTATAGTACATAGTGGCACGGGAGATTTGTCAATGCAAAAGTATGAACAAAAGTGTTGAATCTATTCCAAAACCATGGGCACTCATAGATAGGCATACTGTTATGTATTCATCATTTGTTCATAGTTTATCTGGATATCTGAGACAAGAGACAGTAGTACAATATTTGCCCATGGGTAACTTGTTCTGTTGTAAACTAGTTGGCCAAGTCCAATACTACTGTAAGTTAATTCCCTTAAAGGTGCACTATGCAGAAAATCGGTCCGCCATTTCCCGGTTGCTAAAATTCTAATAGTTTGCCTAATTTCAGTTTGTGACAAAACAAGCAAGTATAGTGTGGAGAATAATTATATAAACTAAACCGCTGTGACATCTTTTCCATAACCAAAAATATTGTATTTTCAGCTACACTTATACAAAAGTATGTGTACACGCTTCAAATTAGTGGATTAGGCTATTTCAGCCACTCCTGTTGCTGACAGGTGTATAAAATCGAGCACACCGCCATGTAATCTCCATAGACAAACAGTGGCAGTAGAACGGCTTTACTGAAGAGCTCAGTGACTTTCAAAGTGGCACCGTCATAGGATGCCACCTTTCCAACAAGTCAGTTCGCCAAATTTCTGCACTGCTAGAGCTTCCCAGGTCAACTGTTAGTGCTGTTATTGTGAAGTGAAAACATCTAGGAGCAACAACGGCTCACCTTTTTCAAAGGTTTTCAAACATTTCCAAGATGGAGGAAAATCTATCCTGATTGAAAATCTGGAGTCAATCTGATGTAGATGAGGAGAAGATGATTGCAGATTATTGTTTTCATTCGCGTTACATATGCAAAGAATGAGTTGTTGTTTTAGATATCAACTCCAAATTCAGTGTGGTTCACTTAGGGATGTCCATGATAGCGATGACACGTTCTAAAGAGCCACTGAACACGCCGATGGGCACTTATGTTTTTCTGTTACTCATTAGAAAAACGACATTTCGGACTTGGAGGTGTGTTTCCTGACCGATTCCATGTTTGGTTAATGATGTTTGTCCCCTATGAGACACTGTAGACACGGAAGCCTATTTCACTTCACCAAAATCCCCAGAATGAATCTAAGATGACAAACTAAATATGCAATACATTTTGACGAGGATGTTTTAGTTGCGCAATTTTACACCCAATTAAGGTGTTTGGTGCAGTAATTCTCAAGTAAAACATTTTGCGACGTGTTGTATTATGTAAACAGTCGGAGCTGCTGGGCAGGTCTGTTATACTGTCTATGCTATTGGATTGAGCGCAATCACTGCAGCTGTTCACTCCATGTTAGTTGGCAAATGGACATTGTCAAATCAAAACCCAACCTTGATTTACCCGTTGTGATGCACAGATGTTCCAAACTCAGTTTTAGACGAGACTGACTTTATGAGCAAAATTATCCTATTTACACTTTGTAGTAAATTTTGACACTAGAATTACTTATAAATAACTCAGCCATCTCTAAACCAATCCCTTAGCTTTTCTCGAACTAAGTTAAGAGATGTACCATGGGCCAACATACTGGATTTATGGTTCATGAGAATACGTTTTTCAAAGGTTTTCAAACATTTCCAGGATGGAGGAAAATCTATCCTGATTGACTTTATGGGTCCTTGAGGCAGATTTGATTCTGCATGAGTAAAGACTCCTACATACAACGTTTCAACTCTCTTATTGGTCTATTAACTAATTAACCGCCTGGTGATGTCAACAGGCAGGCAAAAACTCCATCTCATCAAAACAGGCTGAAATTTCATATATATATATATATATATATATATATATATATATATATATATATATATATATGTATATGTATGAACAAAAATATAAGCGCAACATGTAAAGTGTTGGTCCCATGTTTCATGAGCTGAAATAAAGGATCCCAGAAATGTTCCATATGCCCAAAAAGCTTATTTTTCTCAATTTTTGTGCACACATTTGTTTACATCCCTGTTAGTGAGCATTTCTCCTTTGCCAAGATAATCCATCCACCTGACAGGTGTGGCATATCAAGAAGCTGATTAAACAGCATGATCATTACACAGGTGCACCTTATGCTGGGGACAATAAAAGGCCACTCTAAAATGTGCAGTTTTGTCACGTCACAACACAATGCCACAGATTTCTCAAGTTTTGAGGGAGTGTGCAGTTGGCATGCTGACTCCAGGAATGTCCACCAGAGCTGTTCATGAATGTTCATTTCTCTACCATAAGCAGCTTCAACGTCGTTTTAGAGAATTTGGCAGTACGTGTAACCGGCCTTGCAACCGCAGACCATGTTTAACCACGCCAGCCCAGGACCGCCACATCCGGCTTCTTTACCTGCAGGATCGTCTGCGATCAGCCACCCGGACAGCTGATGAAACTATGGGTTTGAATTTCTGCACAAACTGTCAGAAACTGTCTCAGGGAAGCTCATCTGCATGCTCATCGTCCTCACCAGTTTCGTAACCAACTAAAGTGGGAAAATGCTCACTTTCGATGGCCACTGGCACGCTGGAGAACTGTGCTCTTCAGGGATGAATCCCGGTTTCAACTGTACCGGGCAGATGGCGTGTATGGCGTCGTGTGGGCGAGCGGTTTGCTGATGTCAACGCTGTGAACAGAGTGCCCCATGGTTGTGATGGGGTTATGGTATGGGCAGGCCTAAGCTACAGAAGACGAACATAATTGCATTTTATCGATGGCAATTTGAATGCACAGAGATACCGTGAAGAGATCCTGAGGCCCATTGTCGTGCCATTCATCCGCCGCCAGCACCTCATGTTTTAGCATGATAATGCACGACCCCATGTTGCAAGGATCTGTACACAATTCCTGGAAGCTGAAAATGTCCCAGTTCTTCCATGACCTGTATACTCACCAGACATGTCACCCATTGAGCGTGTTTGGGATGCTCTAGATCGACGTGTACGACAGCGTGTTCCAGTTTCAGCCAATATCCAGCAACTTCGCAGAGTCATTGAAAAGGAGTGGGACCACATTCCACAGGCCACAATCAACAGCCTGATCGACTCTATGCGAAGGAGATGTTGTTCTGCATGAGGCAAATGGTGGTCACACCAGATACTGACTGGTTTTCTGATCCACGGCCACCTTTTTTAAGATATGTGACCAACATATGCATATCTATATTCCCTTTAATTTGAAATCCATAGATTAGGGCCTAATTAATTCATTTCAATAGACTGATTTCCTTATGAACTGTAACTAAGTAAAATCTTTGAAATTGTTGCATGTTACATTTTATATTTTTGTTAAGTGTACAATGTTGTTGATCCATCCTCAGTTTTCTCCTATCACAGCCATTAAACTCTGTAAATGTTGTATAATCACCATTGGCCTCGTGGTGAAATCCCTGAGCAGTTTCCTTCCTCTCTGGCAACTGAGTTAGGAAGGACACCTGTCTCTTTGTAGTGACTGGGTGTACTGATACACCATCCAAAGTGTAATTAATAACTTCACCCAATGTCATCTTTTTTTCTTTCTTTTTTTTACACCCATCTACCAATATGTGCCCTTCTTTGCGAGGCATTGCAAAACCTTCCTGTTTGAAATTCAGTGCTCGAGTGAGGGACCTTACAGATAAATGTATGTGTGGGGTACAGAGATGAGGTGGTCATTCAAAAATGATGTTAAACACTATTGCACACCAAGTGAGGTCAAGCAACTTATTATGTGACTTGTTTAGCACATTTTTACTCCTGAACTTATTTAGGCTTGCCATAACAAAGGGGTTGAATACTCAAGACATTCAGCTTTTCATTTTTAATAAATTTGTAAAAATGTCTAAACTTAATTACACTTTGACATTATGGGGTTTTGTGTGTAGGCCAGTGACCAACGATCTAAATGTAATCAATTTTAAATTCAGGCTGTAACACAACAAAATGTGGAAAAAGTCAAGGGGTGTGAATACTTTCTGAAAGCCTGTGTGTGTCCAGTGGAGGCTCCTCAGGGGGGGAAGGGGAGGACCATCAGTGACTTTCAGAAAAATGTAAATAGTGAAATATTAAGTTATCATTTTTAGATAAAACTATACTAAATATATTCACTTCACCAAATAATTGATTAAAACACATTTTTGCAATTAAGGTCTACAGTAGCCTCAACAGCACTCTGGGGTAGCACCATGGTGTAGCCGGAGGACAGCTAGTTTCTGTCCTACTCTGGGTACATTGACTTCAATACAAAACCTAGGAGGCTCGTGGTTCTTACCCCCTTCCATAGACTTACACAGTAATTATTACAACTTCCGGAGGACGTCCTCCAACCTATCAGAGCTCTTGCAGCGTGAACTGACATGTTGTCCATTCAATCAAATGATTAGAGAATCTAGTACTGAAAGCATAAGCTACAGCTAGCTAACACTGCAGTGCATAAAAATGTGGTGAGTAGTTGACTCAGAGCGAGAGAGACAATAGTTGAACAGTTTTGAACAAATTAATTTCTTCAAAAATGGAGACGAGAGAGCTAGGTGTGTGTGTGTATATATTATTTGTATTTTTTTTGCTTAGCTAGCGAATGCAGCTAGCTAGTTTAGCCTGCTCAAACAGATAGGGATGCTATGTTAGCTAGCTGGCTATGGCTAGCCAATACTGGAACTCTTCCAAGTCAATTTTAAGCTTTTGGTTTAATTAATTTATTGCAACTGGGTTTACTAACGTGTTAGTTCTAGTAGCTATGCTGACTATGATGTTATAATATGGTGACAATGATGTAGGCTGTGTGTAGCGGTTAGCAGTTATGATATGAAGGTTTGGCATCAGACAGCTGATGTGTTGTGCTCTGAATTCCACAAGCGAAGCGAAAAGGTGAGGAGAGCGCGTAGATGCGAGAATAAATTATACAACGATCAAAGGCTGCTATGAAAGTGAACTGTGTTTGCATGTGATCAGGGGTGTAGTTATTCTGCCGATTCTGTTAAAACATTTCTCAAACGGGGATAAACATACCTGAATTTGTCCAATGGAAACTCTCGTTTGCAACTGTTGAACTAATGATTACACCCTAGATCCTCTAGATGCAGGCAAGAGTGTGCAAGGCAGTATTGAATGTGTCAATGTCTGTCACCTTGATTACTCAAATTTCTCTTGACCTGTGCACCTAGCGTACATTGTAAACTTTCATTCATAGGCTAGGTTTTACCAACCTCATGATGGGTGTAGGGAAAATGTATGTATCATGTAGTAGCCTAAACCTATTGACGTTACATTGAGCTGGGTGAAATGTAATATGAATGACAGTCATCAATATGCTGTCATATAAATAAGGCCATGCTCATTTTAATAAATAGCGTCCTCCCTCATATTAAACGGTACTGACCTCTGTGTGTTTGTGTGTGTCTCACAGGAAAATCACGTTTTTGACTGCACTGGAACTTTTGAGATTCGCAGAGCTATGCCTCCTCTGGCTTAGACAATCCCCCTCGACAAACACGCGCACAACCAGATTTGTTGGAGACAGCTTGTGTCAATTACTACATTTCCTAGGATTTCCTACCTGCAGCAACAATAGTGGACAATGAGTGACTCAAAGTGCCCCAAAACTCCTGGCCCTAGTTATGAGTTTGAGTGAGCTCAGACCTCTTGTGAATGAGCTGAAAGTTGAGTCTTTTTATTTGATATTTTCCTGGGCCACTTTTTCCAGGTAGCCCAATAAACACTTAGGGCTAGTGTAGTCCTGGACATAAAAAGCACTTTCAATGGAAATTCTCCATTGAACATGTGTCTGGGGAAAGCTGCCCATAGTCAGGTAAACCGCAATAAAGATCATTCATTTGTGGTGAGTGTGATCCTGTTTGGGCTGAGTGGGTTTTCACCTTAACCCACCTACCTTCTGCCCTATAATCACTTTCTCACACGCACACAGTATAGAGCCCATGCACCTGTTCCCTACTAAAGACATTAATGGGTTTATCAGCAGCAGCAGCAAGGGTTAACAACGTCAGCCTGGGTTAAAGGCTAGAAAGACTCCGCTTTGAATAACTGGATTTAGGGATTGAGGCATGCATGGCACTACTCTGAACCTACTACCATATTTACAACTTGTAATGATGTTATAGTATTGGGCATGGTTGATAGCTTAGGTAAATGGTGACTTCATTGTCTGTTACAGTCCTTATATGTGGAGGTCTATGTATGAAGACATAGTTTGCTGAATCTCACTGCATGTGAGGGTAGAGGTAGTCATTGGAGCATCAAGCCCAGAGCCAAAACATGACCACTAGCCAGCCAATAATGCTGTATGAGGTCATTGATTAACACGGCATGGCTCCCTGTCTGGGCACTGAAGTGGGTCATTTAAAATCAATGGTTGGGTGAGCTTGAAGGTCGCCTTGGTTTTACTAATGATTTAATGAAGAAGGAATGCAGGGAGAAGAAGGCATTTTCAGTGACCATGACAACTATGGATGGCTTGTCACCTTATTGCCCGTTTCCCAACAATTCATTTTCACTCTTACGTCTACCTGCATTCAGGTGTAATGCTTCTAATTAAGGGAGGACAAAGCAATGTGTGATGTAAATTACTATCTTGATTATCCACCAAAATGCGTAATCGCCATCAACAATCACTATCATCGTATCACTATAGTTGGCCTTCTCAAACGTATTCATTACTTTTTAGTCACACTGTAGTCCTATGGGGCAGTTTGCTCATCATTAAAGCCTGTACTTCAATATTTGTAACGTTAAGTCCCCCATCTGTCTCCAGGGGGAAGTTTGCCATAGTGAAGAGATGCATGGAGAAGAGCACAGGGACAGAGTACGCAGCCAAGTTCCTGAGGAAGAGGAGGAAGGGTCAGGACTGCAGAGTGGACGTGCTCCATGAGATCGCTGTGCTGGAGCTCACCAACCCTAGCCACAGAATTATCAACCTGCACCAAGTCTACGAGACCCTGACAGAGATGGTCCTGGTGCTTGAGTAGTAAGTATTACTACAAACAGCTGCTGTTTACATGTGTGTGTACACCTACATGAACACCCATTCACTGTTAACGAGTGTGTGTGTGTGTGTAGTGTACACACCTGCCGGCATGACCTCTTCAAGCTCACTAGCGACATCAAGCTCTAGGTCCGATCTCCTTCAGCTTTGCTCTGCTGAGAAGAGCAGCTTGCAGAAAGTCGTCACTCGCATTCCTAACGATGAATACCACAAGCCCCACTGCAGGGAATCAGGGAGTAAGTTGGAAAAACTGCAGTAAGTTGGAAAGACCACCAGTCCCTCTGCCTGAGTAGGAGGGTAATCCAGCTAACCCTAAACCCTGCTGTAGCTATGCCACACTTCGCTGAGTAGAGCAGGCTAGAGGGATGTCAGAACCCTGCTGCTTCTTGCTACCATTAGGACCAGCTGCTCATCTACTGACTTTGTGCACTAGAGTGACTCGTTTTTAATTAGACCTATGACCATGTTGTTCATGGCATTCCAGACATTGAATAGTTTTTTTTTTTTTTATATAAAAAAATATAATAATAACTGCGAACTTTGCCTTGAACTTCCCTATCGAATTGAAACCGCATGTGCAGTATGTGTTCACTGGCCCATAATTCATGACCAGTCCAATCAATGAATGCACAAATCTAAGAGGGGATATTTGAAATACTCATGAGAATTGAATACCATCAGAGACATGGAATTGTGGCTAAATAGGGTAAATATCAGGATGAGTATTCTTTTATTTTTATTTTATTTATTTAACATTTATTTAACCAGGTAAGCCAGTTGAGAACAAGTTATCATTTACAACTGCGACCTGGCCAAGATAAAGCAAAGCAGTGCGATTTAAAAACAACAACAGAGTTACATATGGGGTAAACAAAACAAAGTCAAAAATACAACATAAAATACATATACATTGTGTGCAAATGTAGCAAGTTATGGAGGTAAGGCAATAAATAGACCATAGTGCAAGATAATTACAATTTAGTATTAACACTGGAATGATAATGTGCAAGAGATGATGTGCAAATAGAGATACTGGGGTGCAAATGAGCAAAATAAATAACAATATGGGGATGAGGTAGTTGGGTGGGCTAATTTCAGATGGGCTGTGTACAGGTGCAGTGATCGGTAAGGTGCTCTGACAACTGATGCTTAAAGTTAGTGAGGGAGATAAGAGTCTCCAGCTTCAGAGATTTTTGCAGTTCGTTCCAGTCATTGGCAGCAGAGAACTGGAAGGAATGGCGGCCAAAGGAGGTGTTGGCTTTGGGGATGACCAGTGAGATATACCTGCTGGAGCGCATACTACGGGTGGGTGTTGCTATGGTGAGCAATGAGCTAAGATAAGGCAGGAATTTGCCTAGCAGTGATTTATAGATGACCTGGAGCCAGTGGGTTTGGCGACGAATATGTAGTGAGGACCAGCCAACAAGAGCATACAGGTCACAGTGGTGGGTAGTATCTGGGGCTTTGGTGACAAAACGGATGGCACTGTGATAGACTACATCCAATTTGCTGAGTAGAGTGTTGGAGGCTATTTTGTAAATGACATCGCCGAAGTCCAGGATCGGTAGGATAGTCAGTTTTACGAGGGCATGTTTGGCAGTATGAGTGAAGGAGGCTTTGTTGCGAAATAGGAAGCTGATTTCTAGATTTAACTTTTGATTGGAGATGCTTAATGTGAGTCTGGAAGGAGAGTTTACAGTCTAACCAGACACCTAGGTATTTGTAGTTGTCCACATACTCTAGGTCAAACCCGCCGAGAGTAGTGATTCTAGTCGGGTGGGCTGGTGCAAGCAGCGTTCGATTGAAGAGCATGCATTTAGTTTTACTTGTGTTTAAGAGCAGTTGGAGGCTACGGAAGGAGTGTTGTATGGCAATGAAGCTTGTTTGTGTCCAATGAAGGGCCAGATGTATACAAAATGGTGTTGTCTGCGTAGAGGTGGATCTGAGAGTCACCAGCAGCAAGAGCGACATCCATTGATACACACAGAGAAAAGAGTCGGCCCGAGAATTGAACCCTGTGGCACCCCCATAGAGACTGCCATAGGTCCAGACAACAGGCCCTCCGATTTGACACATTGAAGTCTATCTGAGAAGTAGTTGGTGAACCAGGCGAGGCAGTCATTTGAGAAACCAAGGCTATTTAGTCTGCCAATAAGAATGCGTTGGTTGACAGCCAAGCAGGTCGATGAAGACTGCTGCACAGTACTGTCTATTATCGATCACGGTTATAATATCGTTTAGGACCTTGAGCGTGGCTGAGGTGCACCCATGACCAGCTCGGAAAACCGGATTGCATAGCGGAGAAGGTACGGTGGGATTCGAAATGGTCGGTGATCTGTTTGTTAACTTGGCTTTCAAAAACTTTCGAAAGGCAGGGGAGGATGGATACAGGTCTGTAACAGTTTGAAGAGGGGGATGACCGCGGCAGCTTTCCAATCTCTGGGGATCTCAGACGTTACGAAAGAGAGGTTGAACAGGCTAGTAATAGGGGTTGCAACAATTTTGGCTGCTAATTTTAGAAAGAAAGGGTCCAGGTTGTCTAGCCCAGATGATTTGTAGGGGTCCAGATTTTGCAGCTCTTTCAGAACATCTGAATTTGTGTGAAGGATTAGCTGGGGGGGGGGGCATGGGCAAGTTGCAGCGGAGGGTGCAGAGCTGGTGGCCGGGGTAGTGGTAGCCAGGTGGAAAGCATGGCCAGCTGTAGCAAAATGCTTGTTGAAATTCTCAATTATTGTAGATTTATCGGTGGTGATAGTGTTTCCTAGCCTCAGTGCAGTGGGCAGCTGGGAGGAGGTGCTCTTATTCGCCATGGACTTTAGTGTCCCAAAACTTTTTGCAAATTTCTGTTTGAAAAAGCTAGCCTTTGCTTTCATAACTGCTTGTGTATATTGGTTCCTAACTTCCCTGAAAAGTTGCATATCGCGGGGGCTATTCGATGCTAATGCAGTACGCCACAGGATGTTTTTGTGCTGGTCAAGGGCAGCCAAGTCTGAGGAGAACCAGGGGCTATATCTGTTCTTAGTTCTGAATTTTTTGAATGATTGAGAGGAAAGCACTTTTAAAGAACCAGGCATCCTTTCTACTGACGGAATGAGATCGATATCCATCCAGGATACCTGGGCCAGGTCAATTAGGAAGGCCTGCTCGCTAAAGCGTTTTAAGGAGCGTTTGACAGTGATGAGGGGTGGTCGTTTGACCGCGGACCCGTTACGGACGCAGGCAATAAGGCAGTGATTGCTGAGATCCTGGTTGAAGACAGCAGAGGTGTATTTACAGGGTAAGTTAGTCAGGATGATATCTATGAGGGTGCCCATGTTTACGGATTTAGGGTTGTACCTGGTAGGTTCCTTGATAATTTGTGTGAGATTGAGGGCATCTAGTTTGGATTGTAGGATGGCCGGGGTGTTAAGCATATCCCAGTTTAGGTCACCAAGCAGTACGAACTCTGAGGATAGATGGGGGTCAATCAATTCATATATGGTGTCCAGGGCGCAGCTGGGGGCTGAGGGGGGTCTGTAGCAAGCGGCAACAGTGAGAGACTTATTTCTGGAAAGGTGGATTTAAACTGTTTTGGCACAGACCTGGATAGTATGATAGAGCTCTGCAGGCTATCTCTACAGTAGATTGCAACTCCACCCCCTTTGGCAGTTCTATCTAGACGGAGAATGTTGTAGTTGGGGATGGACATTTCTGAATTTTTGGTGGCCTTCCTAAGCCAGGATTCAGACACTGCTAGAACATCAGGGTTGGCGGAGTGCGCTAATGCAGTGAATAACTCAAATGTAGGGAGGAGGCTTCTGATGTTAACATGCAAAAAACCAAGGCTTTTACGGTTACAGAAGTCAACAAATGATAGCGCCTGGGGAGTAGGAGTGATACTGGGGGCTGCAGGGCCTGGGTTAACCTCTACATCAGGAGGACTAGAATAAGGCTTTAAGAACTGGTCTTCTAGTGCGTTGGGTACAGAGAATAAAAGGGGCAGATTTCTGGGCGTTGTAGAATAGATTCAGGGCATTATGTACAGACAAGGATATGGAAGGATATGAGTACAGTGGAGGTAAACCTAAGCGTTGGGTAACAATGAAAGAGAGAGCATCACTGGAGGCACCGATTGAGCCGGTCTCCTCGTGTATGGAGGGTGGAACAAAGGAGCTATTTGAGGCAGTTTGAGAGGGACTTGGGGCTTTACAGTGAAATTGTAAATAAGAACTAACTGGAACAGCAATAGGCAAGGCATATTGACATGGGAGAGAGTCATAAAGCAATCACAGGTGTTATTCGAGAGAGCTAAGACAACAACTGGTAATGGCGATGAAAGTTTGGGCTGAGTAAACAGATAAACAGGACAGGGTACTGTGTAAAGGAACAGTCCAGCAGGCATCAGCTGTGCAGCTGAGTGATCATAAGGTCCAGTGAACAGCAATATGTGAGTCCGAGAGCAGATCGAATTGGTGCTACAGCACAGGCGAGCAGGAAGCACGGCTGATTGATTGCGTGTGCTAGCGGGCTGGGGCTAGCAGATGGATCTTCGTGGTCGTCGCAACGGGAAGCCTGTTGAAATCACAGACGATTACGTCGCAGACGAGTCGTGATGGATCGGCGGGGCTCCTTGTCGACACTAGGAGGTCCCGTCCGGTTGACAGAGAGGTAGATAGCCGGGAGATGGGCCTAACTCGAGGCTAGCTCAAGGCTAACTGGTGTTTACTGCGAGTTGTGTTGGGGCTGCTGTATGCGTTTTCTGTGCATCAGATGATTGTCAGCTGAGTAGGTCAATGGCAGTACTCACGCTGAGATATTTATAGTTCTGACCAGATTACGTTTTGTTTGTGTTGTATTAATGTTTTAATCTCTCTTTTGAAGGTGCCCAGTGAGTGAAAACTTGGCTCTCTGCCCTATTGAGTGGTCTGTTTGCATGAGAAAAACAAAACAGAAATGCTCTCAAAAAGGGTCATCATTGTGAATTGAGATGATCTCATACTATTTGGCTTGGTCAGAGACTTCTACAATACAATAGATAATGGGGCATTTTCCACTTTGGTAGGAAATGTATGCACTCACTAAAACTGTAAATCGCTCTGGATAAGAGCGTCTGCTAAATGACTACAATGTAAATGTAAATAGAGCGGAACTGTATTGATAATTATCTAGGATCTGAATGGGGCTAGAGGTGTCATTTGCAATTGACACTTGGTTGTTTTTGTAGATATTCTGGGGACATAGCAGTCAGATAAATGAGGAAGTGGGCAGGTTGTGGTAGAGGGAGGGACCCAGAGCGGTGTGGGATCTCTATAGTTCTGTCAGACGACACATGAGGAGCTGGGGGGTGGCTGCTGTGCAACAGGGGGTTAATCACCTTGGCTGCCTAGACCAGAGGAAAAACACACACACACCTCACTGCACACACACTTGCGCAAACACTCATCAACCGCAGTACACACACTCACACTTGTTTGCACGCACTGACCTCTATACACTCACATGCACACGCACACACACACCTACCTACCTCACTGCTCATACACCACCCTCAATTTAATTCTTGTTTTTCTGTCCTTGAAACTAGTAAACAAATTTGAAATTCAACCGCTTTGAACTGGGATACCAGACTGAAAATCAGGTCACTGACTGAGCTCTGTCTCATTGGAGTTGGAGACCAAATACTGGTCATCCTCTCACATGGCATATTGTGTATAAACAGGGACAAAGAGGACAACTAAGGACACTGTTTTTTTCTAAATTCGAAATGTGTTTCTCATTAATTTCAGAAACACTGTTTTGAGTGTTTTATTTTACTAAAACCATTGAGTTGAATGAACTCTATTCTTCAGTTTGAATTATGGATCGCTGAATAAGTGTTGATTATGTAGAGAGACTGTTAGTATCCTATTTGTCTTTTTCACTACAGTGTCCTCAGGGACATTCTCCATCATTCCAATAACCTCTCACTTGCTGTCTGTGTCCATAGTGCGGCGGGAAGGGAGATCTTTAACCAGTGTGTTGCCGAGGGAGACGAGGCCTTCACCCAGGAGGAGGTCAAATGGTTAATGAGACAGATCCTGGAGGGCGTGGCCTTCCTACACAGGAACAACATTGTTCACCTGGACCTCAAGGTACATAGTATGAGGCTGTATTTGTGATATCTGACTGATTTTGTTCTCCATTTAGCATTACATTGAAACATTTTGGAAAGAAAGGTCAGATTAAACAGTTCTCCATAACATCATGACAGAATAAACAGAGGAAACACTGATTCAATATTCCTCATTCACTGTCCCATTGAATGGTCTTGTCCCTCCTCTCAGCCTCAGAATATCCTGCTGACCAGTGCCTGTCCTCTGGGGGATATAAAGATAGTGGACTTTGGCCTCTCCAGAAGGCTGTGTCAGAACCAGGAGCTTAGGGAGATCATGGGCACCCCAGAGTATGTCGGTGAGTGCAAACCCCTTTTGATTGTATTTTTATTGAACATACAAATAAATTCTGACACAAAAACAACTTGATGATCACACGTCTTACTCTTGTTGGCAGCCCCAGAGATTCTAAATTATGAACCAATCAGCACAGCAACTGACATGTGGTAAGACGAGTAAAATCTCAACCTATATGTTTGTGAGTTAGCAATGAAGGAGGTTCCATTTTTTCTCTCCAATGGCAACAGATAATTTACTATGCTTTGTTTTGCTAATCCAGGAGCATAGGGGTGCTGGCCTACATGATGTTGACGAGGACGTCACCATTTCTTGGAGAAGACAAGCAGGAGACCTTCCTCAACATCTCCCAGATCAACATCGACTACACAGAGGATGAACTCCAGGCCCTCTCAGCCTCAGCCATCCACTTCATCCAGTCACTCCTCATCAAAGAGCCCAAGTGAGATTTCATCCCAAACCATTGTTATTATTCACAAACTATTAGTCTTCAGCGATTTTGGTAGTTCCTAAAACAAGAATCCTACTGTCACATGACAGGGGGCCAGTATGAAAATGTATGCACTCACTAACTGTAAGTCGCTCTAAAATGTAAATGTTTCAACTCAACTGAAGACCTTGATAAAAGCACAACAGTGAATTTCATACTCTTGATTTGATTGAAAATGTAACAGAAAACAATGTGTGATACTGATACATCCCTCTCCATCTTACCTAAAGGTCTCGTGCCTCTGCTGAAGAGTGCCTGAGGCATCACTGGCTCCAGGAGCAAGCCCAAGAGAAGACGGAAGAGAATCTCACCAGCGAGATCTGCCAACGGGCACACACCAAGCCTGCCCCCCCTTCCTACCCCCCCTCCCCTTCCTCATTATCCTCCTGTTCCTCATCATCCTCAGAGGAGGAAGGTCCTGTGGTAGAGGAGCTGATGGTAGTAGCAGCCTACACCATAGGACCGTGCCGGCCAGCGGTGCCCAACCCTGAGACTCTGTTTCCGGATGCGAAGGCCGTTTCCAAGCGGTTCACGTTCGAGGAGCCATTCAGCTCCCCACAGAAGACCATCTTCTGATAGAAGGGTAGGCCTATAAGCACTCCAACTGTAGATGGGATCTTTACTGATTTGATTGTATATTGTTTACCACACCACACTGTCTTCACTCACAAGCCAAACTGTCTCTGTCTGCGTCACATTTTTATAAATTTTAATGAAATTTTAATGAACTACTGAAGTTTTGTTTGGTGCCATTCTTTCACATTCTGTCAATGTCGTTCATGTTTTGCTTTTTTGCCATTATTTTCCTAATATTCATGCAGTATGTTCAGCATTCATGAGTACAATTGTTTGCTATCATAACTTGTATTAATCTATATCACTGTGATTATTTCCTTTTTGTTTACTTCCATCTTACATATTTCATTTTCACTGTGAATAAATAATAATGTCCGAATGAATCTGACAACAATAGAACAAAAACTCCCTTTCATAGTTGGGAGACATTTCTTGTCACAGATTCTGTATAGTACAACTGGAACCATTGACTAAATGTTTGTTTTTTTCAAAGTACCGGCTATAAAGATATGATAGCTTTGGACTAATCATTTACTGTTAATTTGCTCTTTACAGTACCTTCATTCTCATAAGGCATGTACATTTTGCTCAGGACAGTACTGTTTATAATGAATATGCATGACATGTAATGGACATAGCACTTATTTCCTTCTTGTACAGTATATAAACCTGTATGTACAATGTATGTAAATGTCTTAAGGATGTACAAAGCATCAATAAACATTGGTCAAAGCAATGACATTTCTGTGGTGATTTTAAACCTTGTGTATGCCCTTTGTCAAAACAAGGTCCAATGGTGTGCTGAAGGAATGCATGTCACAAAGAAAGGCATTGCACTCTTGTGCTTTAAAAAAATATATGACTGTCTACTCTTCAGTTGATAACTATGGCTACATGTCTGCGACTGACATGAGGAGACGGACAAGTGCAGCAGTTCAACCTTCATCGCACTAGTTCTGGCGACTGGTGAGCAGATCAGGAAGACCAGTTTGGCTATGTCAAGTCCTGTCTTTTCTGATGGTGGTGAGGAGGTCAGTACACTAACCCTCTACAGCACTGCCTGCTTTAAATTCCGCTTAGTGCCGCCAAGGAGAAGATGCATTCAATTGTATTGGGTCAAATGGCCTTTATGTACTTTGAAGGTCAGTGTAGACTTTCATTCTATGGATCAATCAATTTCCTCTGAGTGTCTTTCTATAGAATAATATTGAAGATTACCTGCCCAAGTGTTTGGGGTCTTTAACTGAGGATGTGTTGAGGTAGCCACCATCTTTACAACCTGTCACTAGGATTTTGATCTGAAACATAAAGTAACATGAATATGTATAGCAAACAGGGATGGATAACGGTGATGCTGCCAGTTGGCTCCCATACAGGAGGAATGACCCCCAGAGAGCAGTGTAGGGTTCCACATGGTTGTGCCGGTCAGACAGGTGGATGTTGTGGACCTTCGGGGGTGGTGCTCCCAGAATGTCCATGGCTGTCTGGTTGGCTTCCAGCTGCTCCAGGGCTAGACGGTGGTGGTCCGACCTGGAGAAGTTCTCTAGAAAAGAAAACAAGTGCAGTCAGAAATACAATGTATGAGTATTATGGAATTACCTTTGAAGTCTAAGGTGAGGACTTTGTCTTAATTTACACATTTATATTTGTATTATGATCCATGTTATATGTTGCCTCTTTTTCTAAGGTCATGATATGAAGATAAACATGACAAGACCTAAGTGATACTTAACTTGCAGAAGGTAATACATCATGCAGCAGCCAACACCAGCCAACAAGGTGGTGTAGATGGCCATCTGCTGGAGTTTGCTTGGGGAGACCCTCATGATTGTTGCTCAGAGTAGCACATTCACTGTACCAGTGACAAGACCCTGGGGAGTAGACTGTTCAATGACAGATATACAATGTTAGAAAGATGTTCTAATCTATTTGAAATCTCAAAATTGACACATTTGCTTCGATTGGTTGCTTTCCACTAAAACTTTTTTTTAACCAATTCACTGAGAACTGAATCATCCACACATTTCATCAGGATCTTTGCGTCAAAAGGAGTTCACATTATGATAATCTGAATCAATTCATGAAATAATAATATTTATCTTGCTTCTGTTACTGTCTATTGTCATCTTTATCATATACTTTTGTTAAAGGGATAGTTCACCCAAATTACATATTGGTTTCCTGTAAGACGTTTATGGACAGCAATCCATGCTTTGATTTTGTTTCCCTGGACACTTTTTTAAACGCTAACTTTTTTGCATGTTTGGCACAAATCCAATGCAAGACAATGGTACCTATTAGCATTTATGCCCAAATCATTTATAGTTTCAAAATAATTGTTTTGATACTTTAAGATGATTTGGACATGAAGCCCAGATAGAATCCAAAGCATGGATTGCTGTCATATCTTGTCCATAGACTGCTTAGAAAACCAACATGTATCTTTGTAATTTGGGTGAACTAGTTTCACGTTCTAGTTTTATTAGTCATATGTACGGGATACACATGGTATACATCGTCCAACTAAATGCTTACTTGCAGGTTCCTTTTCGACAATGCAACAATAACAAATAGTACAAAAAATAAGAATACGAACGTAAAGTAAATGGAAATCGAATATAAAACAGTATTCTTTTTGCATAAGTATAATACAGGAAGGCACAATTTATAGTCCAATATTTAGATGTGTATTGGGGATGGGGGGCAAGTGTTTAAATTGAGCAGTATAATAAAAGTCTGGTAGCAGCAGTTGTGATGTGTGCTAAGGTGCGGAGCAGGTGGTCAGTCCAGTTCAAGTGTTCAGCAGTTTGATGGTTGTAGATCAGCGATGGGCAACTGGCTATAGATCGGGGTCTCAACTTACTGTTGCGAGTTAGAATAGTAGACTACACAAGGTGAAATTTCCAAATGTGGTTGTGCATCAGCAGTTTATCCTCTTGTTATCCAAGTCACTGATAGTCAGTCAAGTTTTGTGGCCAGCTATCTTGTTATCATGGTCGAATTACCTGCTGGGGGGCCCCCATTGATTTTGTTTGTGTCTCACTCAGATATAATATTATAAACGGCAAACATTTCCCTCCACCCTATAGCAAAATGTGTAGAATTGCAGGAAATTAGCTGTAAAACAGGGAGGGGGGTGTGGGTACCTAGACCTGCAAGCAACTGTGTCCCCTCATGATGAGTTGAGAATTCTGATATTTCAACAACGATTGTCTGGAATGCGGTTTTAACCAATCAGCATTCAGGATTAGACCCACCCGTTGTATAATTTAAAATATATGATCATATATTTCAATAATATATAAATCTCAGAACCCAATACAAAAATATAACAATATGGATATGTATTTTCATCATGCAAAATGTTCTCAGAACATTATTTACATTTACATTTACATTTACGTCATTTAGCAGACCCTCTTATCCAGAGCGACTTAAAAAATGTCAACGCATTTAATGCTTTGAAATGTATTCCAGGAATTACTTATGCCTGTTGCCACGAGCAGCGGTCGCAGAAGCACAGCGGTTTGCGTCTCCCCTCCCCTAAACACTCGAAGAAGACGCCTGTCACAAAAACAGGTGTGTGGTCTACACAAGCACATTATCTATAAAAGAAATGTCAGAGTCGAAATGGTTATCTGAGTGATACTTACCTTTTATGTTGAAATTGTAAAGTTTAAATGCGTAAATTGATGTGACAACTGTGATCTTGACATAGAGATGACTGGGTTTCCTGCTATACAAGGCTAGCCGATAGAATAACATAAGAAAAAATGGCGGCAGATAATATTCTGGTTTGAATTTATTGATTTATAGCTCCTCTGGTTTCTTTCTACTGCGTTTACATGGTTTAGGCCCTGATACCTCCCCACCCAAGTGTTATATGTTACAGAGTTGTATTTTTTGAGAAAATCTGTTTACGCTAATGCTAAGCTAACTGCTCTAACGCTAGCCTGTCAAGCCTATAGAGTTGCTATTAGTTTAGCGCCTACCGTTAGCTGGCTTACCATTAGGTGGTTGATGGGTAATTTATACTGAACAAATTTATAAACGCAACGTGTAAAGTGTTGGTCCCATGTTTCATGAGCTGAAATAAAAGATCCCAGATATTTCCATACACACAAAAAGCTTATTTCTCTCAAATGTTGTGCACATATTTGTTTACTTCCCTGTTCGTGAACATTCCTGCTTTGCCAAGGTAATCAATACACGTGACAGGTGTGGCATATCAAGAAGCTGACTAAACAGCATGATCATTACACAGGGAGCGTGCAATTGGCATGCTTACTGCAGGAATGTCCACCAGAGCTGTTGCCAGAAAATGGAATGTTCATTTCTCTACCATAAGCCGCATCCAACGTCGTTTTAGAGAATTTGGCAGTACATCCAACCAGCCTCACAACCGCAAACCACGTGTAACCACGCCAGCCCAGAACATCCACTTCCGGCTTCTTCACCTGCGGGATCGTCTGAGACCAGCCACCCGGACAGCTGATGAAACTGAGGAGTATTTATGTCTGTAATAAAGCCCTTTTGTGGGGAAAAACTCATTCAGATTGGCTGTGGGTGGGCCTGGCTCCCAAGTGGGTGGGCTTATGTCCTCCCAGGCCCACCCATGGCTGCGCCCCTGCCCAGTCATGTGAAATCCATAGATTAGGACCTAATGAATTTATTTCAATTGACTGATTTCCTTATATGAACTGTAACTCAGTAGAATTCTTGAAATTGTTGCATGTTTGGTTTATATTTTTGTCCCTTTTATAGAAACATAGTACATAGTACATGATTGTAAACTTTTATATCATCTGAGGTAAAGATGAATAATGAGAAGGTATGTTTTTAAATACAAGTTCATGTATTAGCTAATATTATTATTTTAAATAGAGGATGTATTGTTACTGTACTTACAATACTTTCTAGCAAAGTACAGAGAGATCCTTGATGAAAACCTGCTCCAGAGCGCTCAGGACCTCAGACTGCGACGAAGGTTCACCTTCCGCCAGGACAACGACCCTAAGCACACAGCCAAGACAACGCAGGAATGGCATCAGGACAAGCCTCTGAATGTCCTTGAGTGGCCCAGCCAGAGCCCGGACTTGAACCCAATCAAACATCTCTGGAGAGACCTGAAAATAGCTGTGCAGCGACGCTCCCCATCCAACCTGACAGAACTTGAGAGGATCTGCAGAGAAGAATGGGAGAAACTCTCCCAATACAGGTGTGCAAAGCTTGTAGCGTCAAACCCAAGAAGACTCAAGGCTGTAATCGCTGCCAAAGGTGCTTCAACAAAGTACTGAGTAAAGGTCTGAATACTTATGTAAAGGTGATATTTCAGTTTTTTATTTTTTATACATTTGCAAAAATGTCTAAAAAACAGTTTTTGCTTTGTCATTATGGGGTATTGTGTGTAGATTGATGAGGGGGGAAAACTATTTAATCAATTTTAGAATAAGGCTGTAATGTAACAAAATGTGGAAAAAGTGAAGGGGTCTAAATACTTTCCAAATGCAATGTAAGTATTATACATATATGCACATATGTGTATATAAGTCTGAAATACACTGCTCCAAAAAATAAAGGGAACACATAAACAACACAATGTAACTCCAAGTCAATCACACTTCTGTGAAATCAAACTGTCCACTTAGGAAGCAACACTGATTGACAATAAATTTCACATGCTGTTGTCCAAATGGAATAGACAACAGGTGGAAATTACAGGCAATTAGCAAGACACCCCCAATAAAGGACTGGTTTTGCAGGTGGTGACCACAGACCACTTCTCAGTTCCTATGCTTCCTGGCTGATGTTTTGGTCACTTTTGAATGCTGGCGGTGCTTTCACTCTAGTGGTAGCATGAGACGGAGTCTACAACCCACACAAGTGGCTCAGGTAGTGCAGCTCATCCAGGATGGCACATCAATGCGAGCTGTGGCAAGAAGGTTTGCTGTGTCTGTCAGCGTAGTGTCCAGAGCATGGAGGCACTACCAGGAGACAGGCCAGTATATCAGGAGACATGGAGGAGGCCGTAGGAGGGCAACAACCCAGCAGCAGGACTGCTACCTCCGCCTTTGTGCAAAGAGGAGCAGGAGGAGCACTGCCAGAGCCCTGCAAAATGACCTCCAGCAGGCCACAATTGTGCATGTGTCTGCTCAAACGGTCAGAAACAGACTCCATGAGGGTGGTATGAGGGCCCGACGTCCACAGGTGGGGGTTGTGCTTACAGCCCAACACCGTGCAGGACGTTTGGCATTTGCCAGAGAACACCAAGATTGGCAAATTCGCCACTGGCGCCCTGTGCTCGTCACAGATGAAAGCAGGTTCACACTGAGCAGATGTGACAGACGTGACAGAGTCTGGAGACGCCGTGGAGAACGTTCTGCTGCCTGCAACATCCTCCAGCATGACCGGTTTGGCGGTGGGTCAGTCATGGTGTGGGGTGGCATTTCTTTGGGGGGCCGCACAGCCCTCCATGTGCTCGCCAGAGGTAGCCTGACTGCCATTAGGTACCGAGATGAGATCCTCAGGACCCTTTTGAGACCATATGCTGGTGCGGTTGGCCCTGGGTTCCTCCTAATGCAAGACAATGCTAGACCTCATGTGGCTGGAGTTTGTCAGCAGTTCCTGCAAGAGGAAGGCATTGATGGTATGGACTGGCCCGCCCGTTCCCCAGACCTGAATCCAATTGAGCACATCTGGGACATCATGTCTCGCTCCATCCACCAACGCCACGTTGCACCACAGACTGTCCAGGAGTTGGCGGATGCTTTAGTCCAGGTCTGGGAGGAGATCCCTCAGGAGACCATCCGCCACCTCATCAGGAGCA